GATTGTCTATTACCAATTTACGTCATTTATGACGTAGGCGAGATAACAGTTTGCTAACCAAAGGTCGAGTGTACTGTGCAGTAGTTCGCTCCGTCCTTCTTTATGTCTGTGAAACATGGCCAGTAAGAGTAGAAGATATTAGTAGGTAGCTTGTCTTCGATCATAGATGTTTTCGAAGCATTGCTTGTGTCTTGTGGGGCAACCGAGTAAGTAATGCTGCCATTAGGAAACGAGTGCTAGGTAAGGATGGCAGCTCAATAGATGAAGTATTGAAACTTCATCAGTTGAGATGGTGGGGACATGTGTTACGAATGCCCAACCACCGACTGCCTCGACGAACTACGTTTTGTGGTGTAGGAGTAGGTTGGAAGAAAGTTATGGACGGCCAGACCAAAACATGGCACAAATCCATGAAGTAACTGACAAGTGGACTGAGTCGTGTAGGTAGATAGATGTAGGCTACCTGGTTGGGGTCCGCGAGACGGAAGTAACCGATGGTTGGAGACTCTGAATGACGTCTCGAAACCGTTTGCAATGGTGCGTGTACATCCACTCTTTGTGTTCTCTCAAATCGTAATCTTCTGTATTCGTCAACACCTCTACCTTTGTCTTTCTTAGCTTATCTCACTGAATTATACTTCTTGGAAAATATCTTCAAATCCTAATCTTCTCCATTACCAGTAGTACTTCTACTTTGTTTACCACTATGGGATTTGAATTGACAATTGAGTCTCTGACACGGTTCAAAAACGTTTGCAATGGCGCAGGTGCATTCATCGTTTGCGTTCTCTCAAATCCTAAACTTTTTAATTCTTCATCACTTTATCTTTATTCTTTTTAGGTCTATTTCACTAGCTTCTTCTTCTTGGCTAATATCTTCTAATCCTAAACTCTCAGACTAATGCTAATACCTGTAATACCTCTATTAATATTGGATTTGAATTGATAATGCATCTCTGTGCTAACGTGGTGTGGCAGCATGGACTGAGTACGTACGTGCGAAGTTCTACGTTGCTATTGATTGATTGACTGGATGGAACAGTAAGAACTCCGATAGATAGGAACACCCGTCGTTACCTCTTCGTCATGTCTGCCTATGCCCCCACTGACTGCAGTTCAGACGAGGTAAAAGATGAGTTTTACAGAAAGCTTTCGGACCTCCTCCAAAAAGCTAGGCACTCTGATATAGTAACAATGGCTGGTTACTCCGATGCTCAAATAAGTAGATTAAATGAAAGGGAAAGACACCTGAGTGGATGTTATGGTGTCGCGGCTCAGAGAAGAGACAATGGCGACCGTCTGTTACAACTATGCTCAGATAACCACCTATTTCTAGCAAACACTAACTTCTAGCATAAGGAAAAGCATCTGTTGACCTGGTGACTCCCAAAGTCGTCACAACACTAGACTCAACTAGATCACATCGCCATCAGCCACTGATGGAGGGTTTCGATAGAAGACTGTCGCTCGTTCTGGCGCACATGTTTATATTCAGATCATGATCCAGTGCGAACACTTTAGGGATTAGTTCAACTGGCTTTCAGTCACTCTTCGGTTGCCCTTGATCTCTAGTCATCCTGAATGGCAAATCCATTTCAGTCCTCTTAGTCTTTATGAAATTGAGAAAGCTGTAGGAAATCTGAAGCGAGAGAGAGCAACAGGACCTGATAGATTGACCCCTGAGATGCTTAAGGATGGTGGTCCAGTTTTAACAGTTAGATTGACTGACATCTTAGATAGAATCTGGGAACTGGGCGTGATACCATCCGACTGGTCTCAATCATTGATTGTCCAAGTCAACAAGAAAGTACAAAATTCCTCTTGTGACAATCACAGAGGAATCAGTTTAACTGACATAGTCTCTAAATTGTTAGCCTCGATTATACTTGGACGCCTAACTAGAGCTCGTGAAGAGCAGACTAGAGAAAACCAGTCTGGTTTTCTATCTGGACGTGGCTGTATAAACCACATTTTCACACTACGACAGGTCCTAGAACATATACACACTTAGGTGTCCGACAATTGTTGTTTTCCTGGACCTTAAGGTGGCATTTGACTCTGTGGATCGTGAGGTTGTGTGGCAGTGTCTGTCATTGAAAGGTGTACCAAAGAAGTACGTTAACCTTATATAAGCTCTCTACTGTAACACTACTGGTTGAGTGAGAGCCTATGGCGATCTGTCATCGGAATTCTTTACATCAAGTGGTGTCTGTCAGGGATGTCCACTTTCATCATTCTTGTTTAATTTTGTTATAGACATGCTGCTAGATATAACCTTATCCTCCTCTGAATTTTCAGGAGTGGACCTTCTACCAGGAAAATCGCTTGTTGTCTTAGAATATGTCGATGATATGGTTCTATTCGATGAAGACGCTGACAAAATGCAGTCTTCTGACTACCCTAAGCAACAATGCAAGCATGTTCGGATTGCGGTATTCCCCCTCGAAATGCAAAATGTTGCTTCAAGATTGGCTTGTGTCGGCACCTGAACTAGTGATAGGGAGTGAAGTAGTCGAACGTGTAGACCGCTTCACTTATTTTGGGAGTCTCATCAGTGCTGATGGCCTGGTGACTGACGAGACCTCTGCACGGATACAGAAGGCTCGATTGTCTATTACCAATTTACGTCATTTATGACGTAGGCGAGATAACAGTTTGCTAACCAAAGGTCGAGTGTACTGTGCAGTAGTTCGCTCCGTCCTTCTTTATGTCTGTGAAACATGGCCAGTAAGAGTAGAAGATATTAGTAGGTAGCTTGTCTTCGATCATAGATGTTTTCGAAGCATTGCTTGTGTCTTGTGGGGCAACCGAGTAAGTAATGCTGCCATTAGGAAACGAGTGCTAGGTAAGGATGGCAGCTCAATAGATGAAGTATTGAAACTTCATCAGTTGAGATGGTGGGGACATGTGTTACGAATGCCCAACCACCGACTGCCTCGACGAACTACGTTTTGTGGTGTAGGAGTAGGTTGGAAGAAAGTTATGGACGGCCAGACCAAAACATGGCACAAATCCATGAAGTAACTGACAAGTGGACTGAGTCGTGTAGGTAGATAGATGTAGGCTACCTGGTTGGGGTCCGCGAGACGGAAGTAACCGATGGTTGGAGACTCTGAATGACGTCTCGAAACCGTTTGCAATGGTGCGTGTACATCCACTCTTTGTGTTCTCTCAAATCGTAATCTTCTGTATTCGTCAACACCTCTACCTTTGTCTTTCTTAGCTTATCTCACTGAATTATACTTCTTGGAAAATATCTTCAAATCCTAATCTTCTCCATTACCAGTAGTACTTCTACTTTGTTTACCACTATGGGATTTGAATTGACAATTGAGTCTCTGTACCAATGTGGTATGGCAACCTGAACTGATGTACCTACGTACGAAATTCTACGTTTGAACTGACAGACTCACTGAAAACGTAGCGAGGAATTTTTATTTCTGTATTTCCAGGGCTTCAGTAATCCTCATCAGACATCCTTAAACAAGTCTGTTGAATATCTCAAAGTCTGAGTTAAGATCAGTCTGATGACCTTAATATTTTCCTTTAGTTGTTTGAACATTTCTGTTGGCGTTTAGGTCTGCGATTGATCGGTCTCTTTGGTATAAATACATCCTGTGCTTATTGTCTTGATATTACTATTAGGTCAGCAGAGATGGAAGGAGGCTAGTTATGGAATCCAGGGCACGCGTTTCGTCCTATTCGGCACTTGTCCGACGAATGTACCTGCATCATAGAGTTGATGTCAGCTCCGGGATTTGAGCCCATTACCGTTCGCTTCAAACGCCACTTCGTTATCCACGTAACTACTAAGTCCACCTGGAATAAACGTTTATATGTGTTGAGATTCGTTTTTGCATCCAATTTTACGAAAATGATCAGTTTTGATAAAGTTTTCTGAAGATAAATCTAATCCCGTCTTAATTTCAAAATAGTTTAAGTCTTGTGAACGCTGGTTTTATGTTCTGTAAAATCCATTTTTGAAGGCTTTGTTTGTGAAAATCCCTCCATGTATACATATGTAATATGCCCTTATTGATTCCTTCAGTTGTAAATTTTGTTAATCTGTTCGATTCCATTTTGAAATGATAATATTTGTATTTTATTATAGTTTCTATTTCTCTTGCCTTCACTGAGTTCCCATGTCTCCTTCTGAACTGCATTTATGTTGTTTAAGCTGATGCTTATTCATGGAGACAGCCATATTCATTTGTTCCTCTTTTGATTGGGTTCTGTGCTTTGACTGGAATTGTGCATTTTGATTGTGAATTGAAGCACCCTTCCAGAATAAGAAACACTGTGTTATAAGGCGACCAAATATTATCTTTCGAACGAATCTGATCTATCCACAAGGGATAGAGTAACATTTATTTGTTGTTGTTGACTTGAATAATTAAACAGTTGTTGCTGGAATAACCGAGTGGTAATATTTGTTTAGGTAATAATGTACATTTAGATTTATGATTAATATTAGAACAGTTATTTACCCAAATCACTTGTTTTGATTTCAACTGGTCTAGACGCGTATCTAAACTACCTAGACAGTTATTCCTCAGTCCAAACCTCAGTTTGGATCCTACAGTTCTATGAAAAATCAAATACCCGACAACTATATTGAACATAATAACTAGTGTCACTTCTTTTTATTGAGTTATGCAAGGTTATTCTTTTACTTTCCTAAGCTTGTATTCACTTTGAATGCCCTATGGTAAGATAGTGATTTTCTATAGATGAAAATTGTTACCTAAAGCTAAATATGTAGCCTATCTAGAATTAAAATACTTACTCTATCTTTTACTTTTGTTTCAAGGTTTCCGTGTAAAAGTCCCGACTATGTTCCTTTTCATCCGTAATTTAAAAGTACTATGATAAATCACTAACTTTCTTGAAGGCTTGATTATTTGGTCTGATTAGATAGACTGCCATAAAAATACTTATCAATTTTTTTTTCAGATTCTACTAAACAAAAGATTTAGTTTATTCATTTTTGTTTTTTATAGGGCTCTATATGGAATTGAGAGGTGTAGCGTTTGGAAATCTTGCTGGAGCTAATAATGAAATTATTGCATCGAAGTGTGATCATTTACAACTTCCAAATGATAACCATACTTTTTGTATTTCTACACCAGACTCTGAATATCCAAATACCAACTGGCCTTTGGATGAAGCAGTTAACAGTTCTCAATCAGAATCCCTTTCATACCAAGTTACTGATCCTGCTTATCATATTGGCCCCCAAGATCTGTCAGGATTTCTCCAAGATCTTGGTCCCGATATCATTCCAGAAATTTCAGGTTTTAATGCTGATGGAGTGGTAAATATCAGTAGTACTACTACTTCCGACTCCTGTTCTGTAGATGAATTTTTGAAGGTACCCAGATCGTATGCAGAACAACTATCCATTTCACAGAATAATGATAGATTATATAAAGAGAACACAACTTGCCAGTTACTTGGTTCTCATCCTAGGGCTATCAATACCTCTGACAAAGACTTAGGCACTATTCTTGATGTTTCTGTTTCGGAAGATTCTACTCTAAGTCCTTTGAAATATTTTTCCAGTACTGCATGTAATGATCACTTGGAGTCAGGTCATCAATACCCTACATGCAGCTCTAGTAGCCCTTCAACCTCGTCACCCGACAAGCCTATGACTCAAACATCTTTTGATGTCAAAAACAACAGATCTAATAATGACGGTGAAATTCCAGTTATGTAAGCTACTTTATCTTAATTTGACCTTAATCGAGACTGTTTGAAAACGTTGTAAATACTTTTTCATGAATTATTGTCAGTATGTATGATCCTTTAACGTTTCAGTGTGGGTTTCCTCAAGTTAATGAGATTTAACCATTGAGTTAGGTCACTGATTTCGCTCACTTACATATCTATACTGTCATCATGAACTACAACGTATTTTACTAGTTCGTTGATGTTATTACATTTGGTGAAGTTAGTGTCTTGGTCAAGTTTTCTTCATAGGCGGCCAGACGAAAACATAACACAAATCCTTAAAGTCATTGTCAGCGGACCTGAGCCATGTTTGGTGTAGACAACCTGGTTGGGGTCCGCGAGAAAATAGTAGTCGATGGTTAGAGATTTTGGATGATATGACTCTCGTTAGCGATGGCGCATGTGCATGCATTATTTCTCTTCTCTCTAATTATAATCTGAATTCCTTATAACCTTTCTCTTTTCAAATTTATTTCACTGGATTGCACTTCATGAATAATATCGTCGGACCTTGATGTGTCCATACTTCTACTGCCTCACCATTATGGGGTTTAGACTGACAATTGTGTTCTTCATAGCTGTCCACCACCTACCTGGATGTGTAATGTTGGCTAATATCAGAGTGAATTAAGACATGCGACTAGTTTGTCACTAACTAACTGATAGGTTTATGTATGATGATTAAAACCCATGGAATGAATGGCAATGCTGAGTGGCATGACGTAGAACAGTTAAGAGTGGTGTGGTTGCACTATTTCTTTATCTTGCTCTAAGTATTGAATTAGTTGTGACCCTCAACTATTTATTCATCTATCGCATTTATTCTTTTAGAACTTTGTCTCTTGCACCTATACTAATTGAAGTCAAATAATCTCCTTTGTGTTTCATCATGTTAAGTTCGTTCCCAGCTGTCCCGATTCGACTGATACACGTTCACGCCATGTTCTGTGTTGATAATAACTTACTGACTTTCTTGTTTAGTATTTGAATACTTCCTTTTAAAGGTCGGAGATATCGTGTTATGTATTGTCATTGACAAATAAACATTCCCATCTTGGCTTATAATCTAGTTTTTAAAGTTGATTTCTACTTTGAATTATGGGTTAACGGTATTCTTAAAAAATGGTGTGACCAAAGGTTTTAGGTTCGTCTCCCGATTGTGGGGCCGTAGATTCATACTGTTAATGAGTCCCATACTAGGAAAAATCGACCATCCAGTTCTCCCAGGTTTCGAACGGTGATCTAACATCGATCAGTCCTTGATTGCAATGAAACTCGACAATCTGCACAGCCCTACAATGACACAAAATAAATGTTCGACATATTCTCATAGGTACAGAAAACATTAAGTGTTAAATATTAAAACCATTTCAAAGAAATAACCCGTTAGCTGATATTACTTTGTTTGTTTCTGTTTATCATCAATCAATGAAGTGACAGGATTTCAACTAATCACTTGGGAACGGGTGTTGGATCAGATATTATTAACTTATCCATTCCAAAATGTGCGCGTTCAATCATCTCTGATATACTGAGTAGTCCTTTAAATGAAGATTTTGTTACACCTTGTGTCAGTCAACAGTCTGATCTAAAAGGATCTAATATTCTGCCTACATCCTGTAAGTATACTTTTATCTTTCTATGCTTTCCGTTTTGAGCATCAAGATGTTTCTTTTTTTGTGATTGCTTATGAAATAGTTGTTCCTCCTTGAGTTTATATTATGGATGTTCATTATCTGTCTTGATTTGCAAATTATCGAAGATTTTTAAACTTGTTTCCTCATATTTACAGCAATACAAAAAACGTTTAAAAAGTATTGAAGCAGTGCCTGAAATGTTTGTGGAAATTTTATTACTGTACGCATTCGTTTCAGCTTGTGCAAATTACCAATGTTCAGATTATTATTTTAAGTTAAGAACAAAATAAGGTATCAAAGTTACGTACGGACTCATTAGTTTTTCTTTGACTTCTTTTGTATACGAAAAAATGTAGATATCAATCATGAATATGACACTTCATTTGTCAACTATTACTTGGACTCATACCGGAAATAAATGGATAATCGTCTTGTAATTTATTGCGCCCACAATATCTTCCACTATTCTGTTTCAGTTATAAACGAGTAATTTAAAGTGTTATTTTTACCCAATTCCAGGCACAACTAATGAATTCTCACATCTTTCATCAACATCTGGACTACACTCTTTGGACATTGACTGGTTAGAAGCAGATACTCATAGCCATTCAGTGAATTCGTCCACTAGCCCAGTGTATCAAAATATAAAAATATATGACCATCCCACATTGAATGATTTTTCTGATCTTTCTAATCATGCAACGAATTTGGGCAACAAGAACTCTCATTTTTCGGTTGAACAGCTCAGAAAGCTGACACAAACTGAAGATAACTTGTCAAATGTAGATGAGTATATTCTTACGCCGTTCGAAAATGCCCTAAGCGTTTTGGAAGCACAGTTGGATGCAATTACAATGCATGTTACTAACTTCGAACGACTTCATAAATATGATCATACTAATATGAATACAGAATACACTTATTTCGAAGATGAGCAAATTCCTCGAGCCACTGAATATCAAGGAGCAAACCAAGATTTTACTTCCGTAAGTCCTGTACATTCGTCTCGGTTGTCTAACGGCGTATGTCCAACATTTCCTTGGGGAGAAATGAATGAAAAAGTTACATTCCCTTCTGTTCTCGAACGCACACAACATACAGAATATAAGATAGATTTGGAAACTTATTTAAATAGTGCTAAAAGTGCAGCTCAACGTCTTTATCGTCTGCACAAAATCTCATTACAAGAGTCAAATCTTGATACCGACGCGCAAAATGCATTGAATGATTCATCTCACAATCTCATCAATGACATTTCAAACAAAGTAACTACTTGCGTGAACAGCGATACCAATAACTTCATCGTGCCCTCAACTTTGCCTGTTTTAAAGTAACTGGAATAGTTATTTTACTCATTAAATTTGTATAGTTTGTAGATGCATGATATGAAACTTGTACATCCTTGCACATATGCAATATAACTATCATGGCATTCCAGTTTATTACTAGTGCTCTGTACGTATACTTTGTCCTTACTAATTTATTTGTATTACCGGTGTTTTTTGCTCCTTATATCCTTGCAGAGTTATTTCAATATAACACTCATTTTATATCTCAATAATTTGCGTGTACGCATCTAGTTTATGTAACTATACAACTGTTTCTATTCTGTATTGTTTTATTTTATATTTATTATTTATACATTTTATTCAATCATCAAAAGTGCACGTCACGAAATATGCATTAATTTACAGACATATTTTTTATCAGAATAACTATTCTTATTTCTTTTAGCATTATGTTTAACGGTAACTGGCTAAGTAATATTTTAACAATGCAAACATTTCACGTGTTAACTGATATACTTTATTTTAAGTCAGTCAGTTCCAACGTAGAACTTCGTACTTAGGTACATCAGTTCAGGTTGCCATACCACATTGGTACAGAGACTCAATTGTCAATTCAAATCCCATAGCGGTAAACAAAGTAGAAGTACTACTGGTAATGGAGAAGATTAGGATTTGAAGATATTTTCCAAGAAGTATAATTCAGTGAGATAAGCTAAGAAAGACAAAGGTAGAGGTGTTGACGAATACAGAAGATTACGATTTGAGAGAACACAAAGAGTGGATGTACACGCACCATTGCAAACGGTTTCGAGACGTCATTCAGAGTCTCCAACCATCGGTTACTTCCGTCTCGCGGACCCCAACCAGGTAGCCTACATCTATCTACCTACACGACTCAGTCCACTTGTCAGTTACTTCATGGATTTGTGCCATGTTTTGGTCTGGCCGTCCATAACTTTCTTCCAACCTACTCCTACACCACAAAACGTAGTTCGTCGAGGCAGTCGGTGGTTGGGCATTCGTAACACATGTCCCCACCATCTCAACTGATGAAGTTTCAATACTTCATCTATTGAGCTGCCATCCTTACCTAGCACTCGTTTCCTAATGGCAGCATTACTTACTCGGTTGCCCCACAAGACACAAGCAATGCTTCGAAAACATCTATGATCGAAGACAAGCTACCTACTAATATCTTCTACTCTTACTGGCCATGTTTCACAGACATAAAGAAGGACGGAGCGAACTACTGCACAGTACACTCGACCTTTGGTTAGCAAACTGTTATCTCGCCTACGTCATAAATGACGTAAATTGGTAATAGACAATCGAGCCTTCTGTATCCGTGCAGAGGTCTCGTCAGTCACCAGGCCATCAGCACTGATGAGACTCCCAAAATAAGTGAAGCGGTCTACACGTTCGACTACTTCACTCCCTATCACTAGTTCAGGTGCCGACACAAGCCAATCTTGAAGCAACATTTTGCATTTCGAGGGGGAATACCGCAATCCGAACATGCTTGCATTGTTGCTTAGGGTAGTCAGAAGACTGCATTTTGTCAGCGTCTTCATCGAATAGAACCATATCATCGACATATTCTAAGACAACAAGCGATTTTCCTGGTAGAAGGTCCACTCCTGAAAATTCAGAGGAGGATAAGGTTATATCTAGCAGCATGTCTATAACAAAATTAAACAAGAATGATGAAAGTGGACATCCCTGACAGACACCACTTGATGTAAAGAATTCCGATGACAGTTCGCCATAGGCTCTCACTCAACCAGTAGTGTTACAGTAGAGAGCTTATATAAGGTTAACGTACTTCTTTGGTACACCTTTCAATGACAGACACTGCCACACAACCTCACGATCCACAGAGTCAAATGCCACCTTAAGGTCCAGGAAAACAACAATTGTCGGACACCTAAGTGTGTATATGTTCTAGGACCTGTCGTAGTGTGAAAATGTGGTTTATACAGCCACGTCCAGATAGAAAACCAGACTGGTTTTCTCTAGTCTGCTCTTCACGAGCTCTAGTTAGGCGTCCAAGTATAATCGAGGCTAACAATTTAGAGACTATGTCAGTTAAACTGATTCCTCTGTGATTGTCACAAGAGGAATTTTGTACTTTCTTGTTGACTTGGACAATCAATGATTGAGACCAGTCGGATGGTATCACGCCCAGTTCCCAGATTCTATCTAAGATGTCAGTCAATCTAACTGTTAAAACTGGACCACCATCCTTAAGCATCTCAGGGGTCAATCTATCAGGTCCTGTTGCTCTCTCTCGCTTCAGATTTCCTACAGCTTTCTCAATTTCATAAAGACTAAGAGGACCGAAATGGATTTGCCATTCAGGATGACTAGAGATCAAGGGCAACCGAAGAGTGACTGAAAGCCAGTTGAACTAATCCCTAAAGTGTTCGCACTGGATCATGATCTGAATATAAACATGTGCGCCAGAACGAGCGACAGTCTTCTATCGAAACCCTCCATCAGTGGCTGATGGCGATGTGATCTAGTTGAGTCTAGTGTTGTGACGACTTTGGGAGTCACCAGGTCAACAGATGCTTTTCCTTATGCTAGAAGTTAGTGTTTGCTAGAAATAGGTGGTTATCTGAGCATAGTTGTAACAGACGGTCGCCATTGTCTCTTCTCTGAGCCGCGACACCATAACATCCACTCAGGTGTCTTTCCCTTTCATTTAATCTACTTATTTGAGCATCGGAGTAACCAGCCATTGTTACTATATCAGAGTGCCTAGCTTTTTGGAGGAGGTCCGAAAGCTTTCTGTAAAACTCATCTTTTACCTCGTCTGAACTGCAGTCAGTGGGGGCATAGGCAGACATGACGAAGAGGTAACGACGGGTGTCCCTATCTTTCCGAGTCATTACTGTCCCGTTCAGTCGGACAGCAAACAAGCGACTATCAACTGGGATACAGTCAAGGAGAGATTGTTCAGCTCTACGATTCAATGCTATGCCTACGCTAGAAAGACCATGGGAACCAGCATCAGGATTTTCAGGTACACGAAGGGTAGATCGAGCTGTTTCTTTATCTTGACTTGATGACGTTAAGTGAATGACCCCACTCGAATCCTGTATGCGCGTTTCGGATACGCAACATACATCAATCACCTGGGATTCCAGAGTTCTAGCTAATGAAGCCTATTGTCCTATTTGGCATTGAGTTCGAACATTAAAAGCTCCAACTTGTAGTTTACAACGGGGCTTCAAGACACCAGGAATGACGTTTCGGGAACTCGAATCGTTTGCAGCAGAGGTGCAGGGTGATGAATGAATGTGAGAAGAGTTAGTCGTGAAGATAAGGGGGATGTTAGGGGGTGAATTAAGGATTTGTTTGTGAACAATTTGATCTCGTGAGTTGTCACGGGTATGAGGGAGTTTGTCACTTCCCGACTGCCCACACCGTGGAAGTTTGTTTCTTGAGGAACCTGAAAACGAAGGTAGATTAGTACGGTCATGTAGATGTGGGAGCGTGACTGAAGCAGTATGACTTTGTAGAGAGCGAATCCAGATAACAGATTGACTATGCTTACCACTAAATGTTCCATACGGTCGCGTCACGAAAAGCAGAACAAAATAAATCCATAGTTCAGTTGTTAATTGAAGGAGAACGTTGGCATTACATAGGGAGCAGCAAATAGAGGAACATGGCGGCAACGCGAAGAGAACTTTGCGCGCAAGAAGTCGAAGAAGTGTTTTTGGTACAGTTAAACAAAACGAGTACAATAATGTTTATTTTTCACAAATCGTATTTTCTTCGTAGAAGCGTTCCACTACAACTTTGCCCTCAGATCTTGAGTAGCTGCTTTTATTCTCATTGTTCTCCAGTCGACCTTCCTGGCTTGGTACATTCCCTCCAATGTAGCTCAATTGGGTCATCATGTTTGGTAAGCATGACTGCTACGTCAAGATAACAGCTACCGTCAGGACTTTATTTTAAGAGATATTAATCCCAAACCTAGAAGCTCTGTCGCTTTTCTAGAGTTTTTGATGAATGTTTTTAAATTCATTGTGAAACATCTTTATGTTTTTTCTTATCAACAGTCGATTTAAAACTTACAAGATGTGACTCAGTAGCGTGTAGTTCGAAATTGCTGTATTTAGTAGCAATGAAGAATGAATTTCAGAAATAAACGATATTGGATATACGGTTATTATTCCCAAAGTTCAGGTCACATAGAATATTCGAGATATCTGTGTTGTTAGGATAGATCTCAGGTCATGCTCCCAAAGATGAATCAAATTACTTTTAGCTATTCATATGCAACTCTGGTTGTCTTTTTGTCGTTTATGTTGTTTCTATCATAGTAGTCTCTCTTCACAGGGCATCACTGGACGTTACTCTCAAGAGGGGCCACATGTAAGATACAGTCAACATCTTGGATTAATTCAGGTATACAGCCTCATCAACTGATGTCTCAGAATCCTACAATTAACTCATTACTTAGAATGAGCAACATCTCAAACTAATATATATATATATATATATATATATATATATATATATATATATATATATATATATATATATATATATTGATCTTCAGTCTCATATAATCCAACTTGAGTGTTTCAACGATTATCATGCAAATTAGTAAAGTCTAATTTTTGTTCATGTTTACAGTAGTATAAGCATTTTATGGCTATGAGTAATCAAAGTTGTCAAAAAGTTAAGTATGTTGACTTGTCATTGGAACTTGCTGGTGTTTAACACCACCTCTAGAGTTGATATTAATTAATTAGCCTGTCCACCTTGTACAATGAAGTTAGATTTGAGTTGCAAATACACCTTGGTTTAGTTTTATTGCTGATTTCTTGAGTTACTTCAGTGGCAAATATTAGTAGACTTTCGTACTCTTCTAAACTCGTAATTATTATGGAACAAGTAATTTTGAGAGTTCGCTATTTTGTGGTTTATGTCGCTTAGTATATTTGTACCAGATTTAACAGAATTCTCTTAAACAGACATGAATTTTGCCGAATGAATGAGTTTAAAAACTTTGTCTGAACTTGTTGTCATAGTAAACACTGATCACATGACATCTTGTGTACTTATCGTAGTGGGCTTTTCTTAACCGCAAACATTTAGTGATTTTTCTACTGAATATATTTTCTCTTTATTTAACATGAGAATACCAACTATTAACATATCTAATTACTTTAGATTGAGTAACTGAATTTCATCATCATTTGTCCACATGTACTTTGGAGGCTAGTAATCATGATTTATTATCTGTCCTATGTGTTAAATTAGGAAACTTGATGTTGACCAGTGTTTTGTTTCCATACCAACTTTCAATGTAAGGCCTCAAAGTGCTTAGATTAAAGCTGATGTAATTACTAATATAAATTTTGATGTTCTTCTGTAGTGATCACTTAAGTGCTTGTCTTTTTTTTGTTTTAATAACCATGGCAACCCTATAATGTCTCTTCAATGTCACGGCGATTGTTATTTCTGCCCAGTATAATAAATTTACACTGATTTGAACTTGCTCCGTAAATAAAATGACAGTATCCTCCAAATATATATATATATATATATATATATATATATATATATTGCTGAAAAGAATGTTTAAGAAAAATGATCCTTCGTCGGAGCTAGGTACAAGAAACTCTTTCAATGAGTCAGAATGTTATTTATTTCATCATTCCTCGTCTTTCTTGTTGTATTTTCGATTACTTTCTGTTCTGAAAATGAATGGCATATTGGTAAGTTATTAAACTATCATCTAATATGCCTAAGAATGTAACATTGCTGTGTATAATTTCACTAGGTTTACCATTTAGTACTTACTTATACCTTGAGTTCATTTTTAAAATAATTTTGTTTTAATCGTACTTTGTTGATATCTTTACCAAGATATACTTTAGAACATCTGTGCTAATCAGCATATATGTATTATTGTATTCTAAGTCATAAGTAGTAGAAACTAATTTCATTTATTAGATATATACGTCATTATTTGAATAAATAGTTTAACAGAAATTAGGTACCAAGCATATAGAAAATATTACTTGTGAAAATCTTGATTGTTACCCCTGAAGAAGTTCAGACACGTTTGTTTGATGAAATGCTGAAATTAGTTAAATTTAATCCCTGAGATTATTTCAAATTTAATGTTTCACAAATTATTCTCCATAGCTTCGGAGAATTTACAAAAAATTCTCCTTTTGGTATTCAGTGCCTCCTTAACAGATTTCGATTTCAAGATAATACTTTAATTAAATGACTATGTATAATAACTGCGCATATTTTCTGCGTACATATTAGAATCGTAAGAGTAATTAAGCATTGTGGTGCAGACAATATTCGCTTTTAGCTATATAATGGTTATTTGACTTGACGCTCGCACAGTTGAACTAAACAGTTTCAGAGGGATTATTTTCAATAAACCATATAACCATAGGTGACAATTTGTGACAAAATCGAATACAATATATCAAATTAACAGACTTGTTCAAGACATATTCTTCTTATTTCTTAAAATAACAATGACCCCGTACTATTTATTCAAGAATACTCCAATCTAACAAACAACAACTCAATAAAGATTCATAGTTACGTTTAGAACTTGATCATAAATATCAACATATAATTTTAAGGTCATCGAATCTTTCACTGCGCTAACAAGAAGCTTTCAAGTGTATGTAGGCTGTTTATTTCAATCACCAGAAGTATGATCAACTGATAAAGTCCATCGAATATAAGATTTTCCTTTTTCTTGATAATTTCTACTGGTGAATAAACATTTCTAGTAAAATTATTCATCAATTAATAATTAACACCCAAAATAAAACTAATAAATTGATTAGTGTATTCAAATCAAGATAAAATAGTAATAGTTTTTGGTTTACCTGAATGTATTATATTCAGCTTCGACTCAGGATAGAATTTTCTTAGAATAAGAATTATCTGTAAAAACTTGAAATATTTTTCTCGAGAACTAATTGAACAGATATTTAACTTTGTTCATTGAGCTAACCATCTAAAAGGTTCTGATTTGAATTCTGACAATTTAGTAATCATTCAACGCGGTCATTATCTTCGTGTACTAAAACAGAAACTGCGTTTTAAGGGAAATTTAATGTCGAATTCGGTAAATAGTTATGTTCTTATGTTACTTTTAATTATGATACAGTGATAGATTATCATGGTAACGGCTATTAGGTTATTGGTATTATTAATTAAAGTTTGTTTGTCTTTTGTTAGTAGCACAAAACAAAGTTATATCATTGAGATAAATATAGGAAACAGTTGACTTAGCAGCGAGTAACAGACTGATGAAGTGAGTAAAAAAGACTTTTTGATCTAATAGGTTATTAACGTGTTAAGTTATAAGGATTAGTTCTATCTGATATATACACTTTTTCACTTGAACTATCCAAATATGAAACTAATTGTGCTTTTAATTCAGTACGAACAAAATATCGCCTGATCAAAAATCGATAACCGTCAGCTTAGCTTTATGCGTCCTATCGAGGTTTGACTAATTTCATTGGTAAGAAAACCGGAACAGTTTTCTTTTGTAAAGTAAGCAGATATCTTAATTTCAGTTTGTCATTTCGTTTTGATGGGTTAAATTGACATGTTTCTTTAACCTTAGTGATATTTAAGCGGTTTGAAATATCTGCTCATGGAACATAACTTTGTGTCGACCTTTTTTTGAACTTCTAAAGGTGTAATATACGATGATGGATTCGATCAAGCAAATTATAATCTAACTGACATATTCTTGGCATTGAAACCAACTCTTGAACACTACGCTGATATTTCAACAAGAAATTCCTCTTTACCTAAAACCCAAAAATTCAAGTTTACAATTGAAAAGTTTTTTATTAATCAATGTAAGTGGTTTTGGTTTTTTAATGAATAAAGCGTTACAGAACTTATGCATATAGTTATCTTTAAAAAATGACTCAAGAATACTATTATGTAATTGGTGTGCTTTTCTTTAACCATTTCTTAAGCTTGTTTTAAATGTTTTCTACTAGGCATTACTACACGCCCTAATTCTTCCGTAGAAAATAATACCTGACCCATCACTTAGTTCGCAACCAGCGAGCAGAAAAAGATTTCTATGATTCAGTTAACCATTTAGTTTTCATTAAATATAATGTTATAAATATCCGAAACAGTATTAGTGTTGTTCCATTGTTTTTCAAATGAAAGCAAAAAATCTTATCGAGGTGAAATAAATTATACTACAGATTAACAAATAGTAGACATTTTTTTGCCGAAAACTATGATGGTGTTAAGATTACTGAACATTGTAAGTAAACAAATAAGTAGGGGAAATGAATAATTCGTGATAAAACTAATTTGATTTTTATTATCTATCAATCACTACGTGATCGACATGTTTGTCAAGTTAATAGACATCTACCTACTCGATTAGTAGGAGTGATAATATTTTTATGATTTTTGACTGAATTACACATTTGTACGCATTTGACTTTTCATTATGAGTGAACCAACAAAATAATATAAGTGATCGATTATTTTAAGTTCTACTATCACTTTGTCAGCTGTTTCAACCTATCCGACACCAACCACCAGTAAGACATCCTTTGAAGAAGATCATTCTATCACGATTCGGATACTACATTCTACGCTCTTCTACAAAAAGTATTTATTTCGTCAACTACTATTTTACAAATACAATAACCTAATTCGCATTTATGAAAATGAAGGTTTCTACAAACACTTACAAGGAAAATAGCACTTTTGAAAAGCCTACTATACAGTTCTATTAGATGTAAATGTGCACTAAAATTACCTCTTACAATAATTTCTATTCATTCAAAAGAAACAGTATTTAATTATATCAAATTGAATGTTTGTCATCTGACTAACAATAGTCATTTCTTATGCAACGGTTACTAGTTGTTGTTTGAACTTGTATAATTTATTGCCTACTGCAATGTTGGTGTGATATATTCTCGAAACCAGGTGTTTAAGAATACTGTAACTAATATCTCAGCATTCTGTGATTAGATAAGAGTTCAGTTGGTAGTTACTAAATGATAGACATGTTCAAAAATCAGTACATAAGGCATTTAATTATCGATAGGACGGCTGAAAATATTTTATGAGTTTTAGAGACTGTTGTGTTTCATGTATTCATAAACCAATCAATGTTAGACCACCAATGAAAACTAAAAAGCACTAGACGTCCATTTGCTCCTATTGTAGAAGGCTTGCTCAGCAGCGTGAATTCACGATCCCAAAATCACGAATCGAAAACAGCTCCTTCGTTGGTTTGATGTTTTTGTATTTATCTTTAGCTTTACGAAAAGTTTTTAGATTAGCCGTTTACAAAGCGTATTTGTTCGATCAAAACAAGAGTTTATTTCATTCTAATAGCTTGAAAATAGAGCTAGAATTTATAATTCACTTTATTTATATATGAATGAGTGCACAGAAGATAATGATGAATTCGTCTACTCAAACTATATAAGTTGAACAATTTGTTTTATGTGTGCAAATCCCAAGTTTATATTTACTGATATACATTATTATTATTATTATTATTATTATTATTATTATTATTCAAAACTAACTAATAAGTCCGTAGGATACTGGATAACTGTTAATTCGCAACAATATTCATATTGCTTCTCTTTATTTATGTAATTACTTCTCAAGATAATAATTCTTGTAATGTTGTTCTGGGAAACCTTATATATCTGAAACTATATGTTAAGCTATTAGATGATCATTTCTTGTATTCAAAAAACTAACTAAAAGGTGTCACAAGTAAATGACAGTCTTAATGTAAAAACGATTCTAAATAGTTGAGGATTAAAGTCCTCTGATTGTAAAATACCCAGTCAGGTATGACTACATTTCATTGTCTTGAAAAGCAGAAACCTATACTGATTGTTCTAAACCCTGGTAGTAGCTGCTATGTTGACGTGGTAGTTCGCTTGCCTATCGTGATGGTCACAACGAGCTATATTAGCTGGAACACCCTTCCACGGTGCAGCAACCTGGAAAGTGACATCCGCCCTCATACCCGTAACAACACACGAGATCAAATTGTTCACAAACAAATCCTTAATTCACCCCCTAACATCCCCCTTATCTTCACGACTAACTCTTCTCACATTCCTTCATCACCCTGCACCTCTGCTGCAAACGATTCGAGTTCCCGAAACGTCATTCCTGGTGTCTTGAAGCCCCGTTGTAAACTACAAGTTGGAGCTTTTAATGTTCGAACTCAATGCCAAATAGGACAATAGGCTTCATTAGCTAGAACTCTGGAATCCCAGGTGATTGATGTATGTTGCGTATCCGAAACGCGCATACAGGATTCGAGTGGGGTCATTCACTTGACGTCACCAAGTCAAGATAAAGAAACAGCTCGATCTACTTTTCGTGTACCTGAAAGTCCTGATGCTGGTTCCCGGGGTCTCGCTGGTGTATTTATAGCATTGAGTCGTAGGGCAGAACAAGCTCTCCTAGACTGTATCTCAGTAGATAGTCGCTTGTGCGCTGTCCGACTGAACATAACAGTGGGGTCTCGTGTAGTGCCTCCACATATATTCCAGTTCTCTTACATCTAACTTGTTTAAGCCCTTTCGATTAATTTATTTAGCCAAGCCATTTGTATAGCAACAACTCATATGTACCATTGGTATTTTTTATTATCTGGTTTGTATGAGCTTATACGACTGAGCATTGTTTACGCCTACGCGCTTACTCATCCTTTTCGCTTTAATGTTAATCTCTTAATTTCCCCATGAACTCGCATGATTTGTATTGCTTGCTTTTGACCTTGTCAATCATTCGTCGCTTTTATTTGTGTGTGTATACCTATTTCGCTTGCCATATGTCTGTCTTATTTTTGGTCTATATATTCTTAGTCATGTTCTATCTCTTTGACTTGGCTCTTAGCCTTCTCCAATTTGCTTCGGTCATTCGCTCGCATTGTAATCCAAAGAGTTGGCTCTTAGCCTTCTCCAATCCGCTTCGCTTTGTGGTGTGTCCCCAATAAACGTATTCATCAATACGAGTTCATGTTCTGATTTATAAACCGAGCTTAAGAACACGCAATAATTCGACACACTACAGTCGTTGCCTCTTCGTCATATCTGCCTATGATGCCCCCACTGACTGCAGTTCAGACGACGTAAAAGATTAGTTTTACAGAAAGCTTTCGGACCTCCTCCATAAAGCTAGGCACTCTGATATAGTAAAAATGGCTGGTTACTCCGATGCTCAAATAAGTAGATTAAATGAAAGGGAAAGACACCTGAGTGGATGTTATGGTGTCGCGGCTCAGAGAAGAGACAATGGCGACCGTCTGGTTATAGGGAATGAAGCAGTTGAGTGCGTTGGCTGCTTCACTTATGTCGAGATTCTCATCAGTGCTGATGGCCTGGTGTGTGACGAAATTCAATCGCGGATGCAGAAGTCTCGACTGGCTTTAGTCAACTTGCGTCACGTATGGCGTAGATGAGATATCCGTCTGATAACCGGAGGACGAGTTTACAGTATGGCAGTTTCCTCTGTCCCACTTTACTGATGCTGTTAGGAAGCAGACACTAGGGAAGGATACCAGATCAGTAGATCAAGTAGTGAAATTTCACGAATTGAGGTGGTTTGGCCGTGTGGTACGAATGTTCAACCACCAACTTCATCGTCTATCTATGTTTTGTAGTGTAGGATTAAGTTGGAATAGAGCTAGTGGCGGCCAAACCAAAACACTGCACAAATGCATGAAGTGACTGACAAGTGGACCGAGTCATGTTGGTTGATGTAGACTATCTGGTTGTGGTCTGTGATACAAAACTAAACGATGGTTAGAGACCCTGAATGACATGGCTCCAAACCGTTTGCAATGACGCATGTGAATCGATTCTTTGGCTACTCTCAAACCCTAATACTCTGGATTCCTCATCATCTCCATCATTCTCTTTCTAAATTTACCTTACTGAATTATACTTCTTCAATATTGTCTTCTAAGCCTAATCTCTCCGTTTACTGCTAATACTCTTACTACCTCTACTAGTATGTGATTTAAATTGACAATTACCTTTCTGTGCTAATGTGGTATGACAACCTGAACTGATGTACGTCCCTACGGAGCTCTATAATGTAACTGACTGACTGATTGCTTTTCATTTTAAAACAGACTTTTGCTTAAAATCACTTGAAATAATAATCATACACAACACTCCGTCGGAAAAATCTGGCTGTCGCTGAATACTAGATATAAAATTGTCATGAATGTAAGATAAAGAGCCTCAGTTAATGACATGTGCGGAATTCGAACTGAAGTGACATTCACACAAGCTTTAGTGAAAAATTTATGCTGCTTTCATTCTTTTGACAATCAGCTCTTTCATTCAAGCTTAATACATATGTCAACCATCCACTTTTGTAAGTCAGGCAGATTTTTAATGAAACATCGATAATTTTGATGCTTCCTGAAGTTCAATTCCTCAACAATTCTATGATACGAAACTATCATGACAGTCTGCAAATCGGTTTTAAATATATTTATTTCAGAAGGCAACCGGTGATTTCGCTGTTGCGATCCATCTTAATGATTTGCTTCGGTCAATGAGATAGTCAGACAAGAAATAATACCAAAGGTGAAGCAGCATAAAAGTCAGCACAATAAAGATTTTTATTGTGAAACTCAGAACAACACATATAAGCGAACAATATTGTCATTTGGTATGTGTATTAAACACATGAATATTTATATGAAAATGTTAAACCAATCAAGGCAATTTCAGTCAATAATCACAATGAAATGAAATAGATTACATCACTACACATAAAAGGTAAAAGTACAAGTTGGTAGTAGGAATACAGGTGTACTGCTAGTAGTGAGAATACAATAACAGAAGTTTTACCAACAGTTCAACATTGGAAATAGTAGGTCAAATAGACTTAAAATAATCATCATGAAACATTAAAAGCATTACGTATTAAGCAGTGTTTACATAATTACAAACAAATACAGGATGTGAAAATAATGTTACTAATAATAAAAATAAAATGAAATAGCCAAAAGTTTTAAAACCGTTTGTTTAGATATATCCGGCCACGGAAGAGATATATTTACAAGTAAATTGCTCGGTTTAACATTTACATATCAATGAAGATGCTGGTTATCCAAGGGAAACACCTTACTGCCGTCACACCACTCTACAGTCAGCAGTACGACTTTGCCCTTAGACCTTGAGTAGCTGCTTTTAGTGTCACTGTTCTCCAATTGACCTGCTTGGCATGGTAGAACCCACGAGAACATATGTTCTAGCTAATATAGCTCTGGATAGATTACATATAATTATTTTTCTTGGCTTAGATTCTAAGCTTAATATTTCCACTTCACGTTTTTGCTATTTTTGAGTTTATTTCACTGGGATATACTTCCCGAAACATATTTTCGATCCGTTATCTTTTCAGTTATCGCTTATACTGATACAAGCTCTGCTATTATGGGATATGAGCTGACAATTTCATCTCTGTGTGTTAATGAATTTTATCAACTTGAACGGATGTATGTACATACCAACTTCTACATTGTAACTGACTGGCTAATTGACTTCTTTTGAATTGCTCATAAAATCAATCCTTTCCGATGAAAAGAAGTTTACGGATCGCTAGCTACTTTTACTCAAAATTAAGAAATGTTTCTCAGTATATATGAAGATCAAGTCAGAGCTTCTATCTCTGAGGAAAACAGTTAAATCCATCTTCTAGACTCATTAGGAAATGCAGTTTGAGAGAATCTCATTTAAATAACTGACCGGAAAAAGAAATCTTTTTTTCCCCAACACTGATTAAATTTATTCGATAATATAATAAAGTTGTTAGTTAGATCATTTAATTTCATTAAAAGATATGATTTTGATTTTTAGCAAGGTTCCTAAACACAAAACTCGCAACTTTTCAATGATAATTGGCTAAGTCAATTATTCAGTGTAATTATATGTATAAGTAGGACAGTGTACAGGGTAAATTAATCATTTTCTTATCCTCTTTTAGTGTGCAGTTTCATCAGTCAGGATGTGAATTTAGTTTTGAGTTTGACAGCATGTTCAACAGCTGAATATTTGGAAAGTGAGACATATCGTTATCATCTACCGCATGTCGCTATACCAAGGCCTTCATGCAAGGAGAAACAGACAACTAAGGCTACAGAGACAACAACCGTGTGGATTCAAACTGATCCTTTTCGGATGGCCAAGGCGATTCTGGAGATCAGTGAAATGGAACGAGCTTCACATGCTCTTATATTAGCTGATGGATTGACTGGTACCTTAATTTTAATTCACAAGTGATCTAACACTGCTTTATTAATCTCTCTCTCTCTCTTTATATATATATTATTTAAACCATTTTTAAGTGCGATTAATGATACGTAGAAATATAAAATGCCATGAATACATTGCCTTCAAATGCATGCGTAAAACATGTCCGAACCACTTCAACTGAAGTGCACTCACTACTCCATCAATTGATCTGCCATCCTTACCTACTACCTAATAATTATAAGTTGGTCTATTATTATCGAAAACAATTTCGTAACCAAACGTATGATTCGGAGATGGTGGAGAAAATTTCTAGCTCTGGTGGATGACAGTGGTGGAACTTGGTCCTCTGAGCTGGATTCTTTGGTTGTGGAACTTTCATTGTTCCTCTGAACAACATCATTTACACTGGCTTGTTCTGTCAACCTCGATCTTGATTGGTTGCTGTTGACCTTAGACCTGTCGTTGTTTGCACCTTTTTGTTTGCGTTCTCCTTCAATCTGCTTCTTGATCCTACGTTTGCCTATGATTTTTCTGATTGGTTGATAAATTTGGTAAATGTAGATGTGTTTGTTGATTGCTGATTGACCTGAGTGCCAAGCTTCTCAGAATTCACTAGTGTCCTGTGTACTCCACCTCTCCAGTATTTCAACATCATTCCAATCGAACATATGTCCATAGTTGTCCGTATATATTGATATAAGCGAAGAAATGTCATGGCGTTTGACTGCTAATTGACGTTCACACAAACGAAGGTGAAGAGGACTTCAACTTTGTCCTATGTAGTGCTTTTTACAATCTGAGCAATTTATTTTGTAGATGATATTTGGTTTTCCCTCCTTTGTCATTTTGTCCTTCGGTCTACAAAGGATTGATTTGAGTGATTCTGTTGGTTGGTGTGCTACACCTATTCCAAATGGTCTGGGTAGTCGTGCTGTATGCTCCAATATGTGTTTTACGTATGGTAGGATGATGCACTTATTGGTTCCTGAACTTGATTTCGCTTCTGTTGACGATTTCAGTTGATATTTTTTGGTGAAGTTTTGTGGATAGCCGTTCTTTTGGAAGATAGACACAAGGCGTTTTTCCTCCTTTTTTAGTGCTTCGTATGTGCTGCAGTGTGTCTTCACTCTCTTGAACAACGTTAGTACACATTGGATTTTGTGAGTTCTTGGGTTATTGCTAATGTAATTAAAATTGGGTCTGGGTGGGTTGGCTTCTTAAATACTTGGGTGTCCAGCTTCTCTGAAACAGTTCTGGTGATTGTTACATCCAGAAATGATGGACTATCGTTTGATTCCTTTTCCATTGTGAATTTTATATTATCAAAGACGTTGTTGATCCGATTGTAGATGTTCTCCACCTCGTTCCTTTTAACAATGACGAATGTATCGTCTACATAGCGAACCTACATTTTCTGCTTGTTTACTGGTAAAACCGACGGTTCTAGTCTCTGCATCACAACCTACGTGATGAGTCCTGATATGGGTGATCCCATTGGTGTCCCTTTTGTTTATTTGTAGATCCTGTTGTTGAATTAGAATTAAGTTATTAAGCATAGATTGACGAGTTATAGGAGAATTTGATTCTAAAGTTTCGTATAGTTTTGGAGATATGTGTTTTTGGTGAGGAGAAGAGACTGAATTTCTTTGGCCAACCTTGGTTCTTTTCAGGTGAATAATGTTTTTACGTCGAAGGATATCATAATCTCGTCGTTATCGATTGAATACCCTTGAGTTTATCCAAGAATTGAGTGGGAGACTTAATGGAGAAGTTGGATGAATCCACCAGATGATTCAATATCCTCAAAATTTCTCTTGCTAGGTTTTATGTTGTGGTTCCAGAAGGGATTTAATTGGACGTAGTTCAGTGTTGTGTAGTTTTGGCCTACAGGAGAATCATGGAATTACTGGTCCAGTGAATTCCATTCTCCATTGATCTTGTTTTGATATTTATCATGCCTTCACAAGCTTGATTAGAGTCCTAGAGATTTGGCTGTCTAACTTTATTGGGATTGTATCCATTGGTTTGCATACGCTGCTGTCCTCAAGTGGTTCCTCGGCTTTCCTGATATATTCTTCCTTGTGCATAATTACTGTAGTGCGTCCTTCGTCCGCTGGAATTATGATAACTTATCAACCAATGAGCAAAATCATAGGCAAACATAGGACCAAGAAACATATCAAAGTGGGTTACAATCAACAAGGAGCAAGCAACGACAGGTTTAAGGTCAACAGCAACCAATCAAGATCGAGGTTGACAGAACAAGCTATGGGTCAAATGTGGAAGATTCGTATATTTCACTTCTATCTGAAGTTTGTGCTGATGATGTTGTTCAGAAGAACAATGAAAGCTTCACAACCAAAACAATCATCTCAGAGAAAGAAACTCCACTATAAAAGTGCGGTTCGTCAACTGGTTTTCCATTCTTTTTTTTGTCTTGGAAATGCAATATCTTTTGTGCAAAACGACCACTAAACAAATAAGTTAACGCATCCCAATGCGAATTTTAATTCTTTCATGCTTTACATCTGAGTAAAAAAAACTGGAAGATTATATTATGCTGTATTCATGTTTAACTATTGACATCCATTTACAATGTTGATATATATTTAGGAGTAAATCATTACAAGTATTTCAAATTATGGATTCAGTTTCTTGAAATATTAGTCTTATATAGTTGAAAGAGATTATTTCGTTTGGGTAAATCCACGTGTCAGATTTCAGTATTTGTTTAACGAAAACTAGTGACGTAGAATGTTCCAATAAATAAAAACCGCAATGGATGGCGAGAAATATTTTAAAACTTTAAAAGCATTCTTCCTTAGTTTCATTGAAATGCAAGTATTCCGACTATCAGTAATCATTGTTATCTGAAATTTTACATAAGCTAGCAATGGATTATTTTAAGTTTAGACCATAAACACAATGTTGTTATTCATCTTTTCATAATGAATATAAACCATAATGAGAAAATGTTTCTCTGAATTCTGACGAAAACATTGCTGATCTTTTCTGATCACTTTGGTGGAACAATCACTAAATGAACAGCCGCATGGATGTACCATTTTTTGCGGAAGATTGCTTATTGATATTAGAAACTATGAAGGTTTATGTCAATATTTGCACAGAATCCGCTAAGAACTTAGAGTTTACCACCGATATTAAACTTAATGTATAATGCTGACAACTGTAACACTCATCATTTTTGATGATTGAGCACTTGAATTTAAGAAAAAACAATACTAGATATTTGGTATGCAAATTGACAATTGTTTAAGCTATCACTACAAGTTGGTGTACGATTTGCAGCTGATTGCTTTCGTTTCGATTTCGTTTGAGAATTAATTGAAAAATCTCTAAATGCCCATTATTATACACAATTATTAGTTAACTTGAAATTCATTAAATAATGAAATTTCTGTTCATAAATTTTATTCTTCAGCTATTATTCCAAGGATATATGACCTTACGTTGTGGAGGAAAATTGAAAATAAGAGATTTTACACTGATTTTTCAACGCAGTTATTTTCATCAAAAAAGAGTGCAAATTCATACACTGAAGTAACATTAGATCAATTTATCAAAATACTGGAAGACAATAGATCAAAGATTACCATTACAAAATCATATCTAACGCACATTTTTCTGATTAATACAAAACCTTATCAATTAGATTACTTTAAAAAAGTAGACAAACGTCGATTTTTAAAGTTATTATTATTATTATTATTATTATTATTATTATTATTCAAAACTAACTAATAAGTCCGTAGGATACTGGATAACTGTTAATTCGCAACAATATTCATATTGCTTCTCTTTATTTATGAAATTATTTCTCAAGATAATAATTCTTGTAATGTTGTTCTAGGAAACCTTATATATCTGAAACTATATGTTAAGCTATTAGATGATCATTTCTTGTATTCAAAAAACTAACTAAAAGGTGTCACAAGTAAATGACAGTCTTAATGTAAAAACGATTCTAAATAGTTGAGGATTAAAGTCCTCTGATTGTAAAATACCCAGTCAGGTATGACTACATTTCATTGTCTTGAAAAGCAGAAACCTATACTGATTGCTTTTAATTTTAAAATGCAGAATTTTACGTGAAATCATACACAACACTCGGTTGGAAGAATCTGGCTATCACTGAATACTAGATAGTGTGATACTAAAAGGCTGGTGTCCATTTATCAATGCCAGTTTATGTACTTTGGACACAAATAGATCCAAGTAAGCTTAGATTTTGAACATGGATGTTGATGATGAGCACTGAAAAACATCTTTACAGTGAAGCTTTAACGATTGTTTTTAATTAGCTAAAAGCTTGACATTTTCATCAGGTAAATTCATATCTGTATGTTAAAAAAAATTATATCCTTCGTAGTTTGGCAGGCAGTCTCGGTAAAGAACGTTACACGATAGTGAAACAGTTTTAGGATTTCTCCAGCTACTCTTAGAATTTTTACATTATACTACACATGATCTTAGCTCACGACCTTAATCCGGTTTTCCTTCCTTTGATTTCTACAGATTCTTGAGAATTACAACATTACGAAAGACTATTATTGGATTTTTGATGAAATTCCTGACGTGTCTATTCGTGATCTATTAAACCTTATTGCTTCATCAAATGTTGATAAAATGAAATTAGGTTTCTTTCGTCAGTTCCCTGTGTTAAACTTTGACGATCTGTCAAAAAACGAATTGCAAAAAGGCACTCGGCTATTGATTAAATCTGCATTTTATGGAGAAACGCACGATTTACCTGTAAGTTTCATTATTCTGTTATTTTTTCATGCTTAAATGAATTAAGTCTTAAAGTGTACCAGTATCTTCGTACAAATCTACTTCATGAAATATACAGAAATTTTTATTTACTAATGAGAATTCGTTGTATCATACTTGCCACCCCCAGTGGCGCATAGGCCGCTGACCTTCAATCCACAACCTACTCTGTCCTGGGCTTCCCTTTCCAGTTCTGTCCAATCTTCGTTTATTATTCTCATGTATGTCTCCATTTCTCGGCGTAATGTGTTCTTTGGCCTTCCACTTCTTCTTCAACCATGATGGTTCCATGTGAGGGCTTGCCTTGTGATGCAGTTCACTGCTTTTTGCAGTATGTGTCCTATCCACTTCCACCGCTTCTTCCTGATTTTCTCCTCTTCTCGAAACTTGTTTGTTCTCTTCTACAGTAGGTTGTTGCTGATAGTGTCTGGCCAAGGAATCCGAAGTATTTTGCGTAGACAACTGTTCATAAATACTTGTATCTTCTGGATGATGACTTTCGTAGTTCTCCAAGTTTCCGCCTCATACAGTAGAACTGTCTTGAAATTTGTATTGAAAATTCTGATTTTGGTGTTGGTTGATAGCTGTTTGGAGTTCCAGATATTTTGCAATTGTAGAAATGCAGCCCTTGCTTTGCATTTGTTGTTGCGTGTGAGATAGAGGAGCCAGGTCATCTGCGAAGTACAAATCGTCCAACTGCGTCCTAGCTGTCCATTGGATACCGTGCTTCCCTCCAGATGTCGACGTCTTCATAATCCAGTCGATGACCAGGAGAAAGAGAAAGTGTGAGAGTAAGCAACTTTGCGTAACACCGGTCTTCACCTCGAAGGAGTTTGTTAGCTGTCCTCGGTTCACGATTTTGCAGTTGAATCCATCATAAGAATTCCATATGATGTTGACTATCATTCGTTAAAGGAATTCCAGCGTAAATTACGATTCCATGGAATTCTTAGTGTATTATACGTCAACTCCAGATGATAGATTGACTGGTTTTTAATTTTTAATTGGTATGTAGTAGTAAAAAAACAGTGATATTGTTAAGTTATCGGTTTGCGTAAACAATTATCCTCAACTGAAATTTATTGTGTTTGTTTGAGTATTGCATGAAATAACTGTCACTTCTGGAAAGAGAATAATTTGAACTGTAGAATCATATAAACTATAATCATTAGTCTGTGAGAGCAGTCTAACAAAATTGGTTGCTCTAGTTTAGTCCCTATTACAGAAAAAAGGTTAGCGATTTCTGTGTCTTGAAGTGAAATGGCTCAACTAGTAGAATTTCTTATTCGGTTATAGAAATAGGGGTTGGTATTCACTGAAAATAATACAAACTTTTAGTGCATTCTGACTACTTAGAAATAACTTTGTCCATAACTTGTGACTGGTTTGCGATTTGAAATTAGATAATATTTTATCTCATAAATCATTTCTTTTACTTTTGTAAATTCTTTTTTAAATATTTTCCAATGCCATTGTAGTATCTGTTTTCTAGGAACGTGTAACTATTGCAGCTTACATGATAATGATGGGCAGTCAGATAGCAACCTTCATTAGATCATTTAGTAGTTCATACCTAGACCGTAGTGGTATAACTTGTCGTCAAATTGACCCAAATGTGGATGAATTTGGTGGTCGGTTATTTTATAACTTCCTTAGTCATGTAGGTCTTTGACTGTTTATTTAAACATTATTTTCAAAGTAAAATGACTTTATTGTGAATTACGGTGTGTTATTCTTATAAATAAAAAAGCGTGACAATTGTGTACTTGCAACTGTTAGGATTAATATTCATTAATAGTTGAGAGGTTATGGTTGCTTCAGGTTGTTTTCACTGGTAACAAGATCAAATAATCAAACTATTCGTTGATCCAATGTTTTTATTCTCTACCTTTCATGTAGAATAACGTCTAATTGGTTCTCTCATTCAAAAACAAATTTATAAGTTTTTATCAGCATTACTATTCGTTTCTGGAAATCATGTTAAAATGGTTTTGAGGAAAACGAGGAGTTGAATCGGTGATAATTGCTAAATTTTCACCACTTATGAGTCGACTGTTTAGAAAATTAGTTCTGGTAATAGCATAAACTCTTCTAATAAGACAAATGAAAACTAAAGAGCTCTTATTCTTTCCTAGTTTACCAGTGAAGCTTCAATATTAAAAAACTAAGTCGTTTAAAACACCTCTTAACTAGTACTAGGAAATAATCTCCTACTGAATGGTGACCAACTCTTTCAAATTGCACACCTTATAGTATTAACCTACTTTTCTAGCACAGCATCATTGACTATTGACTGAAGTAAACAGTCCATTTTTGATTCTATTGGTTTTGTACAACAATTAATTAAATTTTGATAGAACAATGAAAAGATGTAATTCATCTGAAAAATGCGATATATGTGTGTTATACATTCCGAACAATCTGGTCACACATATTTACTTGTCAAGGCAATTTTTTCTTCCAAGAAAAGAGTAAACCTTACCCTAGAATTCAGTTTAGATCTGATTATTACTTATCATCAAAATTATCATTATGATTATTAATAGTAGTGTAGTAAAGGAGAACACAGGTGAGGGTAACCGAACTGAGTTAATTGGTAAAATCGAAAAACCATATCGCAAATCATTGATTTGCAAAATATCAATCCACCATATCGAACTGGACTGTTCCTGTTGCAAACATCAATCCATTGTCTGACATTTCACTCTTCATGCGTTTCATACAAATCCCATTGTGTTCACGCTCTTCTTTTCTTGATCTTCCCCCATCTTCTTCTGCCAGACATTACGTTTTTACTCGCATCATATACTACTTGTAAGTAGCGCGCGCCACAGTAGTAGTAGTACAACTACTCATTGTTACTAAAAAGAATTGTTTTCCACTTTTAAAAATTAAATTGATCAAAACCCATTGCCACATATATTAAATAATGCAATGTAAAACCAAATAAAAGTTATAAGAGTTTATTATCTTCAGAATTGAAAACCGGAATTTCATTTGTATATTCTCAGTTTTCTCTTATGGTTTTGTTCAAATACTAGAGGGCTGGGACTAGTCACTGGAAGTCTTTATGGTTTTACTCACTCGAAACTTACAATGATACAATACAAAATTTTATATCAACTGCACATTACACACCCAAAGACAATATGAAACTTACAAGTAAAGGAATAAAAATCAAACGAAGAAGCTCAGAAAGTGGTTTGTTTTCAACTGTTTTTCAATCATTCAATCAGAAAATTCTTCGAATTTCAACAATTGTCGTAAGTGTTTGACTAACCAAAGGTTTTCTTCATAAAAATATTTGATTGGTGAAGATTATGAGACGAAACGTTTGTTAAGTGCTCAGTGTTAACATTGGTCCTTACAGTCCTAGGTTTGCTAGCAATCCTAGTTGGATATAGAGGTAAACATCTTTAGTCAAGTTCTTTGTAGTATTCTTACCGTCTGAATTTGAGTTTCTGTGGACAAGTAACTAGTTACTGCTTAGTCATATAAATCACCATGCTCCATAAATTATAACAGTGTGGCGTTTTATTGTAATTGCATTTCTAAGATATAAGCAGTAAAGGGGGATTAAAATGAGTGGAGGATGTTCGTCAACTCTTTCTGAAGAATCACTGGTATTCAGTAGCAATAGATGTTAGTAATGCTAAAGTTTCGAAATATACGTTCGCGCTCAGTGAGAATTTACTCTCCAGACTTCAGCTTTGGTGGCTTGAATATGTTACGAATGACTTCCACTGATTTCCACACTTTGCTTAATTTTACGTGAGAGAAATTGGTTGGAAAAAGCAGAGAAGCGGTCACTCCATAACAGTACAGTCATATGAATGAAGGCTGAATAGGACTGACATCTGTCCTTCCATCACAACTTCTTGGTTTGAGTTCTGGAGTTAGCGCAACTCAGTGGCTCGAAACATTATCAACTACGGTTAAGAGTAGAGACCAACAACAGACCTACTTTAGTTCTTTTTTAAATTCTACTTGCAGAAAAAGAAGGGAACCTATGTAACTAAATGAATTCTTTCTGGTTGCATTTTTAACCAAATTACCTTTCCCGTTATGTTATTTTGACTGAGTTGCTTTTATTCATTATTGATTTTAATTATACTCTCTTTCCTTGCTATATTTCTTTACAGTCTCAATATTTTTATTTGTGTAGGTCAAGTTTACTTTGATGTCCATCATGTACGTGTTTCAAGTAGAGAACAATAAACCTGGGACTTAGCTATTTGCCAGTTCATTTAGAAATTCTATATTCAACGCCTTAAGCGGATTGCGACGATACAAAGTTATTCAACATGAGAGAACAGGCGTGTGCACTTCCCGATCTTACAGTTTTCTACTTCGTTACGTAAAAACAGCTGTCCAAAATACTTTGATTTCTATGGTCCCTAAAAATATAGCTTTATTTCTGAAATAATTTCTCAGTAACTTTAGTATAGATGCGAATAAGTAAGCATTATTGTTGGTTTAAAATAAGCAGATACTGGAAGCATGGTCATGCTCTTGAGTTGCATTTGACTATCATTTCTAATTAGAATTCTAGGAATATATCTGCAGAAGTCCAACTGGTTGTTAGTATTTGATTTTCTTCTTACACAGGATCCGCCATTTGTTGTAACTGGTCAAATAACTGAAAATGGAGAAATAATTAACGCCACAGGATTTGCGATTGATATACTAAATGAGCTGGCTATACATTTTAATTTTAGGTAAAATAATTTCTTATAAATGTATACGGTTATATATATATATATTTTGGGATTGATATGTTTGAATGTTATTACGAGTTCACCCTACTCGGTAAACGGAACGAAAGCAATGACTCAGTGGCACGATAGGCTATTCTAATCCGTTTGTCCCAGCCCCGGCTAACCAGATCAAGAAGTATTGTTAAGGCGTAAAGAGTGTATTCTACAAGCACCCAGAAAACACGAAGTTACTAATCGCACTAATCAAGCTTATTTATACAATGATAGAAACGCCCATGGGAGAGCCACAAAACAGCGTACTAAAAAAATCCGCCAACCAATGACAGTCAAGGATTTCCAAGTGAGAAATGCAAGCAGTAGGTCAACCAACGGTCTCTTGGCGCGAAAACATAGAAAATCAAAATTTCAGAAATAAATTACAAAATTAGGACATTTTCCGAGTGCGTTCTGTGGATCCAACGTCCTCAACAGAGATATCAACAGAAATTATAAATGTTTTATTAACCATACTTATGTTACAAAGCATTCTCAAACAGTTTTTAGATATAATATTTGAAAACAGTTAAAAACATTAAATTCTGTAAGATATATTAGCCTAGACATACAAATTTTCCACTAAATCATCGATCGTTTCTTAATAATTAACAATGTCATCTTCCTTCATTCTCCCTTAACTTTCATTTTAATTAATCCGATTAACTGAAATATGCTTGTTTATTTTGAGGAGAGATATGTTCTTGACAATTTAAATCGAAAAAGAAACTTTGGGTATGAGATTTTAAGTAAAAAGCCAACAAACTTTTGAATATTAAAAATGATGTTAATGAAACATTCAACTCCCTGGCAGCACTGGTTGATGCATTTCCAATGGATATTTTTAGTTGGTTTTTTGCTTTTAGAAACTTCAAAAACGATTAGCCTGAATTTGAAGTATTAGTTACTGCAAAGAATGTAACAAACACTTATCTTTATTGATGGAACAGAAATCTAGCAAGCACTAAACTATGAAAATTAATTTTTTTTATCATTGACTTTTTTTAATGTCAATAGCTATCGTCTTTTTACACCACAAAACGGTACGTATGGTTCATTGGATGATAATGGAAATTGGGATGGCATGATGGGTGAATTGGTAAGCGGAGTAAGTAAAGTATGAAAAAGTTCGGTTAAGCTTTTGTTTGACAAACATCTCAAGATTTAAGAATTTCTGAAGGGGATGGACAGTTTATGGAGATCAACTGGACCTTCGATATAATAGAAAATCACAATTGGTAGCACTAGAAAAAGCTGGTGACAAGCATTGGTATCAACAGTCGCTTCTTATTGAAACTAGAACCCTTACCTATTTTTATAAGGTTAACACCTACCGAGTATACATATGAAGTCTGAGATTTATCTTCCTTAATTTTTACCATAACTATGCATAAGGATCCGTGTATCGAAAAATTTTCATATGTATTTTAGCTTCCGAATCAGTGTATCGCTTTAGTGATGGCGCTAAGTTTATTTCTTCTCCGTGGTGTGTATAATGACTTTCAGAAGTTTTTAAGTTACTTTTACAAGGAGTCTCAGTGATCAGTATCGTAACTTAAGGGCAGCCGTAGATGATGAAGTAGGCAACTGCACATATAGAAGGGCGTTATTTTAATGTTCATAATAGTAATTTATCATACTGAGATAAAAAGAACAGTTTCATTCTCAGTCATTAAACTTCCATCAGGTCGTATTGAAGGTGTAACATCGAAAAACTAATGAATATTGTGCTACATGATGGTTAATTCTGTCTGCTCCTTTTAATGTACACCATGTCCTAACACAACTTATTTCTTTATTGTGGATGAATTGTTTAAAAATGTTTTATTTCTTCTAATGGAAACAATTATTCTGAATAACTGGTACGACAGTCAGGATAAATATATCGGTATATGTTTATTCAAAAAACGTACAGCACAATGTACTTTTTTTAAGCTGGTAGAATCTAAACCGCAATTAGTTCATCTAGGAAGAAATGTCGGTGACTGCTAAATGAGATGTACATCTTCATAGGGAGTGAAGGATATAATTTAAGCGTTATTAAAATGCACAGTGATATAGGTTTTAAGAGATATAGAATTTCAGAAATTATAATTATCTCTCGTTTGTCGTAAATACCAATATAATGTAAATAAATGCTTTAGTTATTTACGTACGACTTTTACCCTCAATGGAGCGCAAGCCACTGACGAGCATTCTCCAACCCGCTCTGTCCTGGTCCTTCTTTTCTGGTTCTGTCCAACTGCTGCTCATTTTTCTCATGTCTGCCTCTGATTCGCTCTGTAAGATGTTCTTTAGTCTTCCTCTTTTTCTTTGACCTTGAGGATTCCAGGTGAGGGCTTGTCTTGTGACGAACGTAGGTGCCTTCCTTAATGTGTGCCATATGCACTCCCAGCTCTTCTTCCTGATTTCTTCCTCTGCCGCACTCTGGTTAATTTTGATCTTGTCTGACCAACGGATTCGCAGTATCTCGTGTAAACAGCCGTTTATTAACACCTGTATCTTTTGGATAATGGCTTTAGTAGTTTTCCAAGTTTTCGCTCCATACAGTAGAACTATCTTGATTTTGGTGTTGGTTGATGGTTGTTTTGAGTCCTAGATGCCCTTCTACTGCAGAAATACTGCCCTTGCTTTGCTAGTCCGTCCATTTACATGTGCATGAGATCTACCTTGTTTGTCATTGACGCTGCTCAGATGTGTAAAGGTTTTTACGTCCTCCAAAACATTTCCATCAAGAGTGATTTGGTTGGCTCATGTTGTGTTGTTTTGGAGGATCTTGCTTTTCTCCTCGTGTATGTTGAGACCTACTACTGCTGAGACCGCCGCTACACTGACCACCTTCTCCTGCATTTGTTGTTGTGCATGGGATAGGAGAGCTACATTATCTGTGAGGTCTAAATCGTCCAGCTGCATTCTGTCTGTCCACTGTATCCCGTGCTTCTCTCCAGATGTCGACGTCTTCCTAATCCAGTCAGCCACTGAGAGAAAGAGTGAGAGTGAAAATGCACAACCTTGCTTGACTTAGGCTTTCCCTTGAAGTGAGACTATGAGCTGCCTTCATGCACGATCTTGCAGTTTAGTCCATTGCTTAATGTTGAGATCTCTCACGTGCACCTGTGTTGAAGTTTCGTAGTGTTCCCTTGTCCACACCATCAAGTGCTTTCTCATAGTCGAAGAAGTTAATTTATAGTAGTAAGTTCCATCCAGTTGATCGTTGCACAATGCTCTGTAATGTCACGATTTGGTTGGTACACGACCAATCCTCATTGTAGAACCCAGCCCTCTGATTTCGAAGTTGGGCGTCTATCTAATGTTTCATTCGGTTTAACAACACTCAGTTAAAGACTTTTTCTGGTGTTGATAGTAGAGTAACACCTCTAAAATTTCTCACACTTGCTTAGATCTTTTTCCTCTGGTATCGATGAGGTGTTCTTGTTTCTAGTCTGTTGGTACTTGTACTTCCTCTCAAATCCTGCTGAACAGAGCGTGGAGCATCTTTGCAGTTACTGTTATGTCTTCCTTCAGTGCCTCAGCTGGTAAGTTGCTGATCGTGCTGCTTTACTGCTCTTGATTTCTCTGACGTCCGTGCTCATCTCTTCCATTGTTGGTAAGTCAACATCGATTGGGAGATCAGTGAATGCTGCTTCGACTTTGGGTAGGTTCAGTGAATCTGGTCAGTCCAAGTTCTTGCAAGTTCTTTACTGACCCCTCCCACTGTTCTTGAACGTCAGTGACTGCTTTACCTTCTTTGCTTCTGATTCGTTGTTCTGGTTAACCATAATTTTTAGTAAGCTGCTTCGTTGCATCATATAATTGTCTCATGAGTCTGTCAACTGACCTGCGTGTACGATTTTGCAGTTTAATCCCTCGTAAGAATTCCATATGATGTTGACTATCTTCTTCATTGCCTCCGCTGGAATGTTGTCTTATCCATCTACTTTGCCGTTCTTGATTTGTGTGATGGCCATGCTGATCTCTTCAATTGTTGATGGGTCGACATTGATTGTGGGGTCCTTAGATGCTGCTTCGATGTTGGGTTGGTTCAGTGGAGCTGGTCGATTCAACAGTTCCTTAAAGTGCTTTACCCACCTATTTCACTGTTCATTTGCTTTCTTTGTTTTCGCTGGTCGTTCTGGTTTACGATAGTTTCCAGCGACCTTCTTTATTGTATCGTACAACTGTCTCATGTTTCCGTCTCTTGCAGCCTTTTCCGCCGTCACTGCCAGATCTTCCACATGTTTACGTTTGTCAGCTCTGATGCTCCTCTTCACTTGCCTGTTTGCTTCTGTGTGTTCAGCTTATGTCTTAACTTTCTCTGCTCTTGTTCGGCTGATGTTGATTGCTGCCTTCTTGTTCCTCCTTTCTTGAATCTAATCTAGTGTATTAACAGTGATTCATTCCTTGTGGTGGTGTTTCTTGTGACCCAGAACCTCCTGACATGTTGAAGTGATTGCCCCTTTGATCTCTTCCCAGTTGTTCTCCATGTAGCAGTCTGACTTACCATTTAAAACAAATTAGTGTGGCTATGTTACCTACACTAATTCACGAAATGTTGGACTCTTTTCAAATTTACTACTATTCGGTATATTGCAAGTAATCGGTTTTTAATACTGAAATCTCTAGTTGTGTTTTTCAATGTTTTCATAAAGCTATGTTGAGTGTTATCAATGGTCCTAACTAGTATGCGTTCGCTGACACATTTGACTGTCATCAAAAATTTTCAGCTATATCAAACCATTATTTCTAATCAATGAGTAACTCTCTTAACATCTTTGAAGACTGAATGAAATTTTCTTACGTAACTGATTCTATGTCAATGGAAGTCCAAACCGCAGTAGTTTACTTGAGTAAAAGGCCAACGAATTTACAAGACTAAAGCTCCGAATCATTTCACAATTTAAGTAAACCTGATTATCGTGAAAAATCGTAATAGTGTAGGGTATATATCATTTTATTTACCGATTAAAAAAATAATATTTAACTATCCAGGTCTCCTTATTCACTGATTACGTATTTTAGCGCGTTGATATGATAGCTGCCGGTTTGACCTTCAGTCCAAGACGATCAAATTATGTGGAATTTATTGGTCCGATTGTTGAAGATACAGTTGGAATACTCGTTAAACCATCAATAACAAGCGATTTTTTCTTTCAAATGTTTCATTTATTTCAATTTAATGTTTGGATAGCAATTATTAGTTCAGTAGTTATCCTTGGAGCAACTGTTTGGTTATTCAACAGATACAGTCCACTTAGTGGATGGAATTTGCAACTTCCAGAGGCTAATTCAAATGAAGTATCTCTTTTCTACAATTTATGGATTTCACTGCGATGTATGCTTCTCCAAGGCAAGTTTTAAAACTCTTATTGAATTCTAGAATGTTATACATTAGGTTTTCTAGACATTAGCTACATACTGACTTTATGTTTAATTTTCGTCTAGAACCAGAACCTTTTTGGTAAAATTAGAAATATTTTTCATGCTCGATATTGATTAATAACTATTCAAATCTAACAAAGAAGGCTCATCTAATGAACAACTTTGTTGAAAAAAAAACTGGTTTGTCCAACCGGTCCTGAGAAGGTATCAGGCTAAAAAATTTAAAGCATTTTGAATATTCATTGAGATACCTGTGTTTATTGAAAGTAAATAGGCTGACATGTTCTGAATATGTAAGTTTTCAACTAATCACTTATCTCCTGCAATTTTACGACTAACGCAGTGGTAGTGTAACTTTGAGTGTCCAAATAACTTTATTATTCCTTTTTCTACTCATGTATCTTCTGGTCACCATTTAAAATTCGTATCTATTCTTAACTATCACGGACAAAGAAGATGGAATGAACACCTAAAACCAGTATCATTATTATTATTTACAACTGTATTTTTGCAGTTGTCTTTAAATGACCTACGGTATTATCTTGTCTGGTTTTATGCTTTATAAGTCATTTCTCACAAAATAGGAAATCATTACTTAAATTTGGCCAATTCTATTTATGGTGTAATGTATTATAAAACCTGTTGACGTGAGAAAGATAAACAGATTTCAATTGGTAATATGAATATATGACGACAATTCGGATGGCCGTAGTAATGATAAACGAAAGTTTATATTAAATATATATATATATATATATCAATTTCTCATAAATCCATTTGTTTTCTTTCTCTTAGGACAAGAAGGTCAATTATTCTGCTATTCGTCACGTACTATATGCCTAATGTATTGGTTTATGATTTTGGTTGTACACGCTATATGGCAGGCTGACTTAACAGCATTTCTAACAAAAAACAATCTAGAACTTCCAATTAAATCGTTAAAAGAATTAGCATACAATGATAAGCTGATAGTATTAACATTGAAGGGAACTAGTACATACAATATGTTTCAAGTAAGAAATAACATTTCCAAATTAGTTATTATGATTGAGTATTTTCTTTGGAAATCAGCCTTGAAAATTGAAGAATTTGCTTTTGTAAGACAAATCATTTGTTAAAGATTTTTAACATTGTAAAATCTTGTATACACTCCATTTACAATAAAGCTAATAAATTTAGTTATATAATAACTTATTACTATTTATTATATAAACGTGAAGTCTCATTCTTATTGACAATAATTACATCCCTGTTAACTGAGCACAAAACTCAGATATATGAAGAATAATGATTAAACTAATCATTTTTTATCGAATCAGGTGCTGAATTATTCCATAAACTTGAAAATAACATCTCAGTTAATTTCGCGGAACTCAAATCTTCAATGTCATATGACCTTTGTGATGTTGATTGAACGGTGGGAATTACTTTTTATAGTAATTTATCAAAATGCACTCACACCCCACGTAACCATGACTTAGCTTGGAGATCAACACGTCAAAAATTCTAAGGAATTTGAAATTATCTCTTTCAAAACGTAGGTTTCCACGTTAGGCTGGACTCGAAATTTCGTTGATAAATGAGATTGATTCTTGAATGAAGGTTAATTATTCACATTGTCTTTGCTACAATTTATTTTGTGAAGACTTTCGAAGCTTTTGATAGTATCTAAATAAATAAATATATTTTGATTGAAATCACGAACTAATCAATGTTAGATCACCATGGGAAAGCTGGAAGCACTGGACAGCCATTTTTCTCTAATCTGAGACTGTTCAACAATGCGCATCCATGACTATACAAGCGGGAATAGGAATATAAACCGGCGAGACGTCTCATAAAATATAAGTTCGTGAATAAACTATACATTTGTAAACAGAGATTCATGGATAGTAAAAAGGTTCACAACAGTCTCTCAATATATAACCTTTGGAAATAAAACTACTTCATGAATTCCAGAAATCTATCTGCCAACCGGAAGACGAGTCTACGGCACGGCACTTTTCTCTGTCCCACTTGACGGGTGTGAAACATAGCTACTAACGGTGAAGGATATCCGTAGGTCAACAGCACTCGAACACAAGTGTTTTCGAAGAATTGCGCATATGTCCTGGGACCATGGAGTAAGCAATACTGGTGTTAGGAAACGAGTAGTAGGTAAGGATGGCAGATTAACTGATGGAGTAGTGAGTGTACTTCAGTTGAAGTAGTTCGGACATGTGTTACGTATGCCCAACCACCGACCACCTTGACGAGCGATGTTGTCTGATGTAGAAGTAGGCTGGAAGAGAACTAACTAGTGGTGGCCAAACCAAAAGACGGCACAAATACATGAAGTGACTGACAAGTGGACTGAGTCATGTTGGTTGATGTAGACTATCTGGTTAGGGTCTGTGAGACAGCAGTAACCGATGGTTAGAGACTTTGAATGACATGGCCCAAAATCGTTCTTCATCTTTATCTTCTTCAACAGTTTGGTCCTCCGAATTTCTTACGTCGTTTCTTTTCTCCTTTCAAATTTTCTCACTTCGATATACTTTTTGAATCACACCTTCGATCTGTAGTCTTTTCGATTACCACTAATGCTGCTACTTACCGAGTCCAACGTTGTAGCAGTCTGACTTGCCTTCTCAAATAAATAAATGTGGCCATGTTGCTGTTCATTTGGGTTAAAAATATCTTGCTGAAAGTCTCAACACTTCTAAACAAACTAGCCTAATGGGGAAAATTTTATTCATTTATTCACCATTGCTTTATACTTTATTCAGTGATTCTATTAATCAACAGTCCATAAATTATTTTAAATAGGTATCAGTCAATAATACATTTTATAAATCCATATACAAGAAGTTGGTGGAAAATCCCGTTAGTGTATATTGTACAAGTGAAGCAGTGAATTTGGTGATAAAGTTTGACAATTATGTCTATATAACTGAAAGATTATTCCTCATGAGTGTATTACAATCAAAGGAATATTCGAATCTGCAAGTTATAGAAGAGCCTGGGATTGTAGCTGCTCTCGGATTCGCCGTGCAACTGGGTAAAGAGTATGCAAAGCCTATGTCATCCTAGTACGTTTATCAAATGTTTATCAGTTTTTAATAGGTGAATAGTACGCTTTGTTTTATTTGTTAAGATACGACAGAGATTTTTCAATTTATAAAGTTTTGTGGTGAAAAATCTGCATTTTGAACCTTTAGTTAGTAAAGTTGGTAATTTCTAATGTTTCTTTATTGATAAATGATTTTCAACAAAAGTAGAATTTGCAAAGTTTTCAATCAGCAAACGTCTTCGGGGCAGACAGGGATCTGATTATATGCTCTTACCAGATCGATCTTAGAAAAGACAATCACACCCTTGATTGATGTCGTGGATTTGGGGGATCGGGTAGCTGCTGAAATGAATAGCTACGTTCCATGCTCTGTAGTCACTACATGGTCTCCTACTAACGCCATCTTTCTTATGAACCATGGGGCTCAAGGAATATGAGAAGGACAAATAATATCTGTAGCAAGTAAAGTGTCAAACTCACGCTTAGCGAGAGCTAATTTGTTCGGTGCTAGTTGGCGAGGTTTTGCCGTGACTGGGAGTTCGTGGGTGTCGATGTGGCGTGCCACACGATCAGTCACCGATGGAACCTCCTCTAAAGGTTTAGTTAGCCTGGAGAATTTGACAAATAAAACACGAAATACATTATCATGACAAGAAAATACACCGGTTATTCGATACGCATCTGGTCGGGCTTTGACACCCGTAACTTTAATATTCGACGAAGTATCGATTGACTGCAGCCTTCATGAATCTACTAGCAATTCATAGTGCTGCAGGAAATCGATACCGAGTATGACTGTGGGCACATCCGCAAGGATGAACGTCCACAGATACCTTTGTCGATTGATCAAGTTTTTCTCTATGTTATTGATATCTATCAGATCAGATCTATTCTTCCTTTTCGTGATAAAATAATGTAAATGAGTATAGTTCGAACATAAAAGTCTTATCCCTTTGTGCCAATGGGGTATAGCAACTTGAACTTATGTACGTATGTGCCTTGTCCTACGTGGCAAGTAACTTACTGATTAAATAAAACTGACTGGATAAACAGTAATTCCAAATTTATATTTCCAAGTTGCCAATTATATCTGTTTATAACATCACTAATTTATCATTATCATTAGTTCATTATACTTTAGTTATTGTTGAAAAATAAAATCTTAACAATGTTTATTTTATCAAGTATACTAGCTTTGAGAGAGCGAGGTATAATCAACAAATTCATGGTAAATTGGAATATGACACATGATGTCGATTCGATAGATGTACAATACCAAGCCTTGACAATATGGAATGTGGCTGGAGCATTTATTGTCACCTCAGTGTTTACTGGAACAAGTCTGTTTATTCTACTCATTGAATGTGTATGGTACAGATGGAGAAGTAAGAAAAATAATGACACTCACAACAAGGAAGAGAATAATAGTGGCATATATGATGAAGTCCACTGATCCATTTGACGAGATTATTAATCCTTAGTATATTGCTTCGCTTTACTTTCTTTCATTGATCATTCCATGTAACTTACATTAAGAAAACTAGTGAATTTTACAAATCTCTCCTATTACACGGCCTTATTTTACTGACAGATAACATTTGATCAAACAATTTTTTTCCATTTTTGTTTCTAGAAAACAGTAACGAATTAAATAAATTATAACTTTAACCTTGGAGTTTGTACTTTTCAGCAGCAGTAGACGATTGTCTTGAATGCCGTTTCTCTGTTTATTGTTAATTTTATGTGAAATAAGTACTACATAACAAAGCGTCAATGAGACACGAAAATGTCTTGTTTTTTATCCATTCACTGGATAAAACAAATTTCAACAAGATAATATAAAATAGTGAAAGCGAATGGAACCGGAAAAGTTAGAAATAAGAATCACAGCTTTCAGCCGAAAGTCAATAATAATTCATTTGTAGTAAAGTAGAGAGCTATGAACTAGTGAAAGAAAATCAAACATTTTAATAGTTGTAATTATTTCTACTTGGACTGGATGATATCATACAATGGAATAGATCAAAACTAAAACTTTCATTGAAATGATTAATTGATCATTGTTAGACCACCATCAGAAATCTAGAAGCACTGAAAGGCCGTCTCATCCTAGTATGGGACTTATCAGCAGTGCGCATCTAACATTGGTTGACTCATCTCAATAAAATTCAACAATCTCCACAACTGGATAGTGAAAATCGTTACCACTAAGATTAACTTGGTGATGAAAAAACAAGGTTAGAGAATGATGTAATTGATACATTATCATAATCCAGTCGTAAAGAGGGTTAAGAAGATTCCAACCACATAAGGGTTTGGTTATAAATTGATCTATGACAAAGGCTTCTGCGAAACGAACTGTTACTTATATTACTCAGGCGTTTATCCAGTTAATGTTGTGTCTGAAAATTACTTGACTAATGCACTGTTAACAGTTTTGCTTCCTCTTAAATATATAGTTACAGAAATGTGAGCAGAAAACAAGGTTGGAACACTCATTTAGTACTTTCCAGTGTATTTGTTTCATTTGGCTTATCTTCACAAGCTTACTTTACTTACTTACGCCTGTTACCCCCAATGGTGCATAGGCCGCCCACCAGTTTTCTCCAACCAACTCTGTCCTGGGCTTCCCTCTCCAGTTCTGTCCAATGTTTGTTCATTCCTCTCATATCTTTCTCTATTTCTCGGCGTACTGTGTTCCTTGGCCTTCCTCTTTTCCTTTTGCCCTGAGGGTTCCATGTGAGGGCTTGTCTCGTGACGCAGTTAGGTGCTTTCCGCAATGTGTGTCCTATCCACTTCCACCGCTTCTTCCTGATTTCCTCCTCCACTGGAATCTGGTTTGTTCTCTCCCACAGTTCGTTGTTGCTGATGGTGTCTGGCCAACTCCGCCAGTAGAACCTTAGGGGCTACTGCCGGTCCCAAGACCGGATAAAGGAGGAGGGTTGGACATGGGGTTGGCGACCCCATTCCGTCGAAATCTTCACAAGCTACTGTAGGTTAATGCTGTTCAGTGACCTACAAATCTTGTCGTCGTTGTCCTATTCAGTGTTAAAGAAAATTAAATATAATTAGTTCTCACGTTATCCATCTTCCTTCAGATCAATTAATTGATGTACATGTGGTCTATTCGGTTCTGTGTGGTGTGATTCTGTGAAATCCATGTGGCTTTGTGTATGCGTTTGTGTGGGAATACTGTGCCACCGATGACCGATTTGATGGAGGCACATAGGTTTGCTAATCTCTGAACATCTTCAATTTTTTTATCACAGTCCATGTCGTCCCATGATGTCTTCATATCCGGTGTTGTCCATTTCAACCTTGGCACTTAGGCCTCTCATCAGAATGGTCAAATCGTTTCCTGGATATTTCTCAACGATTAACTGCAGCCTAATAGAATTGATTTTTATCGTCCTTATTGTTTTCGTTGGTAAACTGCTTGCACTGAATGATATTCATTTATTCTCATGTTTCTTCGTTTTGAATAATGCTTTGATGATCCTAGGTGCACGGGATTCCCATCCTATCAGTGCTTTTTGTGCTTGTTTGGATAGTTCCTCTTCAGGGCCTGAATACAAACATATTGCTCCTGACCCTAATCCTTCTTGTCCGTGGGTTTCACTTATTCCAAGCCGAATCAATTATTATTTTTTGCCCTAATTTTAATGTCCGAATGCTGGAGATAATCTTAAAAAAACACGAAGCTTATGATCTGTAAAATATGGCATCTTCCAAAGCGGTTCAAACTACCAACGACCAAGATTCGCAATATGAGAGATTACCAGTGACCACGAATGAAAACTATGGAATTGAGAAATTGTGATTGAATACGTAAAAAGTGCCGCAAGTAATTCTGATTGTCTAGAAAGTCCGCAAGCTACCACGTTGGGCTTAGTACCTACAAACATTAGTCCACGTTGCCAGGCTACATTAGCACACAGAGATGGAATTGTCAGTTCAAACTCCATAGTAGTGATGCGTTGGATTCGACTTCCGGCTTATCACTTTGTTGCGGTATTCGATTCGATGCAGGGTTCAGTACTTCGATGGCCCGCGTCCCAATATTTATGAACATTTAAAATGCTGTAAAATAAATCTCCCACATCAGCTTCTGTATATTATACTTAGGCGAACCCCGTTTGTGCAAACCGAAATGAATTGAAGTGAAGAAGGTGACAGAGCCAACTCCATTCAATGGAAAATGACTAAGAATTTATAGTCAGACAAAAATAAGCCAGACATGTAATAAGCTAGACAGGTGTGCACATAGATGAATAAAAGCAACGCAGAAACGAGCGAATGATTCCTCTGTGATTGTCACATGAGGACTTTTGTACTTTCTCATAGACTGGGATAAGCAGTGATCGAGACCAGTCAGATGGGATTACATACAGTTCCCAGATTCTACCTAAGATCTCGGTCAATCTAACTGCTAAGACAGCATCACCATTCTTAAACATCTCAGAGGTCAGCCCACTAGGCCCTGCTGCTCTCCCTCGCTTCAAATATCCCATAGCTTTTTCAACTTCATAAAGAGTAGGAGGACTTACCTCGATTTGCCATTCAAGTTGGTCAGAGATTGTGGGCAATCGAAATGTCGCTGAAGGGCTGCTGAATCGCTCCCCAAAATATCCTGCAGGTCGATCCAATCTCCTGAATTTCGACAGGACAATAGTCCCGTCTTTCTCCGACAGTCGAATCTCTAATACCGATTCTCTTGATAAGTTTGAACAGTTGTCTGCTGTTACCCATCACCGACATCTTTTCCATCTCTTTTGATTTCGTCGCCTACCACTGCTCGCAATACTTGTGTAGGCTTTTTTTCAGTCTGTACAATCGCCGCCTCCGCTCCTCATCGTGTTCCCAGTCGGACGAGGTGAGTTTCCGGAATGTTATCAGTTCAGTAGACGCGGCTGAAATCCACTGCTCCTACCTAACCTTTCGGTTTAACTTGCTGGCAGATATGATTTCTGTTTCCACAGTTTTCTGGATATCATTCCACCCTGCGTCTGGGTAGACATCATTTACATGGCTGTCTAACTGCTTTCCTAATTTCTCTCGAAATGTACTCTTGGCTTTTTATCGTTAAGTAGAAATCTAAGGGGTCTTTTTGCTGTGTCTTTCTTACATCCAGTAAGACGAAGACAAATATTTCCGCGTACTAGAGCACGATATGGGCCGGGACAACATAAGATCCACTCAGGTGTCTTTCCGTTTCGCTTAATCTACCTACTTGAGCATCAGAATCACCAGCCGCAATTCCTACACCAGAGAACTTAACTTTTTGGAGAAGGTTGGAAAGCACTCCGAAAAATATATCTGCTATCTCATCTGAGCCTCAGTCAGTGGAAGAGTAGGCAGAGATATCGAAGTGGCGACGGCGAGTTTACATATCTTCTCGATTTCTTACTGTCCTGTCCTATCGAACAGCTCACAAGCAACGGTCTACTAGAATCCATTCCACAAGAGCTAGTTCAATTAGATACCTACACCATCAGACCCAAGAGAAGCAGCAAAAAGGCTTCCAGGTACACCGACCGTGGATCGCAAAGTTCCCTATATTTACAACCTCACTGGTCGTCGGAGAACTTACACCAACTTGCCATTCAGGTTGAACGGATATGGTCGATAACCGAAGTGTCTCTGCAGGCCAGTTGAACTGCTCTGACATGTAGTTCACGGCAGGGTTATCGTTGAGCTTAGCGAAATGGAAGTGTGATCGCAGAGACCAAAGAACAACTGCTTGATGTCGGTCACGCACCACTCGACAAAGGTGTTCGAGTAGAGAGCCTGTACAAGATTAATGCATTTCTCTGGTCCACCTCTCAGTGACAGACACTGCCAAAGTACCCCACAATCAACAGAGTCAAACACTACCTTAAGGTCAAGAAATATTGTCGGACGCAGGAATGTGTGTCAATGTTCTAGAACCTGACGTGTGTATATTTGGTCAAGACACCCACATCCAGGTCAGAAACCAGCCTGGTTTTCTCGAGTGTGCCCTTCAATAGCTCTAGCAAGGCGTTCAGGTATTAGTGAATCTAATATTTTAGACACCATTTACTTAAACTGATTCCTCCGTGTTTGTCACAAGAGGACTTTATCCTTTCTTATAAATTGGGACAGTCAGTGATTGAGACCAGTCAGTTGGGATTACATCCATTTTCCAGTTTCTAGTTAAGGTATCAGTCAATGTGACAGCTTGAACTGGACTGCCACATTTAAAAATCTCAGGGCTAATCCATCAAGATCTGCTGCTGCCCCTCACCTTAGATTATCCATAGCCTTTTCGATCGCATTAATAGTTGGTCTTTTCACTGATATTACATTTTATGTTCAGACGTAATTCCATCACACACTAAACAAAATCTGCGTCGACTCCTAATATCAGTCATCTTTCGTTCTGAATTTGTTGTGTTTGGTTTGTTTTCCTCAACGCAACTAAATTTGCTATTAATTGAGTACTAGTAATTACACAAACGGAACAGGCCATTACAAAGTATTTATTACGCTATTAAAATATTAAAATAACCAAACTCGCACACTGTAGCCAACTTCAGTAGGATATAAAATCATCTGAGAAATCATAGTACTAAAAATGTGTAGTGTAAATAAAAAATTTTAGCGAGGCACGGTATATTGATCACATAGAAAATTAAAAGTAAGCGTCATTCCTGAAGAACAACCTAGGAACCACGATACTTACTTGTCATTCAGGTTTCTAGTGGCGCGGTGTCTGACTCTGACTGAAATTCTAAAAGCACCTTTCAGACTAAGTTCGCAAGATATTCTTACTAATCTGGATAACTGAATGATCTGTTTCAGAGTGTGAAGTATGATGGCCTACGTATTTTTCAAACAAATCAATGTTAATATCGATTTTGTTAGGACCATATCAAACAGATCGCAGTGTATGTTATCTATTGGTAATGTATCTTCAGTTTCTGCATACAGTTAATCTAAACATTAGCTTGCAAAACCACATTAATTAGGTTTCTAAAAAATTTCATTATACACTTTATTGAACGAACATATTCGTACACAAGCTCAAATTACTTGTTTTGATCAAAATTGTTTTTTTTAAACAAATAACAGGAAAAATAAAACACAAGCGAACAAATGACTTTGTACAGGATGTATCGTACATTTATTTGTTATAATAGTGACATGATTGTACACGAATCATTATCGTATTCAGTTTATATGCATGTATACAAAATCAAATCACTAATGTTTAACTTAAAAATATGAACTCTATACAGATGATTTATTTGCTTTCTCTTCTTCATCCACACACTCAATCACATGATCTGATTCATTAGCATTCAGCACCTCAGCAGGGACAATATCACCGGCATATGCTTGTTTCATGTAGTAATATAAACCTCTATGAAATGAAAAAGTAATAAAGAATTTATTTAAACACACATAGTTATTCAGACTAGGAAATTATGTTGCGATAAATAAATTTATTCGTTATTTGTCAATAAAGCTTAAACGCAGCACCAATTCATAAGTCTCGTTTTCCGGTTTACATTGTTCTCAAACTATTCTTCGACTTATGGAATGATCGTTTACCATCGTTCACACTGTTATTTCTATATTTTCACTTGATCTCTATTTATTAACTTGTGAGATGTGCCAACTTGAACCGATACACGTTTGTCCCGACCGTAGCTGCTACCTTGACGTGGTGGTCGGGCTTGACTATCGTGATGACCCAGCCGAGCTATACTGGCTGGAACATATGCTCCTGCAGGTCCTACTGTTGGGATAGCCAATCGAGAAGAAAGCCATGCACATTGTGGATTGATGAACTTATCGATTAAATGCTTAAATATTTCAAGGGCAGTCAATCGATGAACTATTGGATTTAAAATTCAAATATTTAAACGACAATATCGATTATATTTATAATTGTATAAATACGCATGTTTGGTTGTATATTTTTGATTCTGTTAATAAGTGTTCTCCAACGCCTTCCGTCTTTTCATTTTTGACGGTGGGAGTCTAACGTTTCGAGGGTCATTAATACAGTGGTTTGGCGTTACATCAAGTACAAAACATAAAAGTGGCGACGGAGTGTTCAACCCACAATGCCAATTACCCTTGAACAGATAGAATCTTTACTGGAACGTCAAGGAAAACGATATGAACAGTTCCAGGAACGTATGTTGGAGTTGTTTATGAAACAAATGAATTTGAATCACAGAGGTCTTACCGACGACTCATATAATCCACATGCAGACTCGATAGTTAATTCCATTCATGAATTTCATTTTGATGGCCTTGCTGGTGTGACTTTCGAGTCTTGGTTTAAGAAGTATGAGGATTTGTTCAAGGTCGACCTCAACAATCTTGATGACGCCACCAAAGTTAGAATCCTCTTGAGAAAGCTCGGCACAATCGAACACGAACGTTATAGTAACTTCATCCTCCCAAAGAACCCACGAGATTTCTCTTTTGATGCTACAATTGAAACGCTGTCGCAAATTTTCTCTGAACAGTCATCTCTCTTTAATATTCGTTATCGATGCCTCAAAATAACCAAGTCAAATGAAGATGATTGGGTAAAGCACGCCGGCTTAGTAAATCGTGAATGCGAACGATTTAAATTATCATCAATGACGGAAGATCAGTTTAAGTGCCTTGTGTTTGTGTGCAGCTTACAATCTCCCGAAGATGCTGATATAAGAACCAGAATCCTAAGTAAAATTGAGCAGTGCCCAAACATCTCGCTTCAAGAAATAACTGCAGAGTGCCAGAGATTAGTAAATTTGAAGCATGATACCTCCATGGTCGAAAACAATGGCCGTGCATCATACGTGCTTGCCGTTAGTGAAAAGAAACATTCCGGCTCACAAAAGCAGCACAAAAGCACAGACAACCAGCCTTCATCTCCATGCTGGTCATGTGGAGGTTGGCACTATAAGAAGTTTTGTCCATACAAAGATTATGTTTGCACTAAATGTCACAAAAAGGGTCACAAAGAATCTCGATGTAGAAAAAAAACTCGCAGACATTACTCCGCGAAAATTGATTCCAAGAAATACAGTTCTGGTAAGACAATAAACCGAGTATTGGTGTCTCATAACCAGACAAGAATTCAGCAAAGAAGAAAGTATGTGACTTTGGATATGAATTCACACCGTATCCGTCTTCAACTTGACACAGCATCCGATATCACCCTTATTAGTCCAAAAACTTGGGAGAAAATTGGAAAACCTACAGTTCACCAAACGAAGTAACTAGCACACAGCGCATCTGGTGGTAAGTTAAATATTGTTGGAAAAATATTGTGCACTGTTTCAAAAAATGAGGCCACAACGAGTGCAACTGTATACTTAACTAAAAACCCAGACCTCGATTTATTGGGGTTGGATCTCATAGATGCATTAAAATTAACAGACCACTCTATCAACAACATCTGCAGCCGAGTTAGAATCAATAACCCTTTAGAGTCAAATCTGAGAAATGCCATTATAAAAAGGCATCATGAAGTATTTTCGGAAGCGTTAGGCGAATGTACCAAAGCCAAAGCACTACTGACTCTCAAGTCAACAGCTATTCCTGTTTTTCGACCAAAAAGACCTGTACCTTATGCTTCTCTCCCAGTAGTTGAACAGGAACTGGAACGACTTCAAAAAGTGGGTGTTATTGAACCTGTAAGTTTCTCCAAATGGGCTGCACCGATTGTGGTGGTCAAGAAATCAAACGGAAGTGTCCGTCTATGTGCTGATTACTCTACGGGACTGAATGATGCTCTAGAACCCCACCAGTATCCCTTGCCAATACCTGAAGATCTTTTCGCTAAGCTAAATGGAGGCAAGGTGTTTGCAAAACTGGATTTATCGGAAGCTTATTTACAGATTCCTGTCGCTGATGAAAGTAAAGATCTGCTTACTATTAATACACATAAGGGCCTATTCAGATATAATCGGTTACCTTTTGGAGTCAAAACCGCGCCCTCCATATTTCAACAGGTGATGGATACTATGCTACATGATCTCCCTGGCGTTGCAGCTTACCTGGATGACATAATAATTATGGGCGTTGATATAATAGACTTAGAAAAGAAGCTCGACCAGGTGCTATCAAGAATAGCTGAATATGGATTCCGGCTTCGTGTGGAAAAATGCGACTTTTTCATGCAGAGTGTACGCTACCTCGGTTTTATTATCGATAAAGACGGGAGAAAACCAGACCCAGAAAACACTCAAGCTTTGAAAGAAATGCCGAGACCGACAGATGTTTCCACACTTCGATCCTTTCTGGGGCTCGTTAGTCATTATGGAGCTTTTATCCCTGACCTTCATCGTCTACGCGCCCCATTAAACAATCTTTTAGCAAAGAACGTAAAGTGGTGTTGGTCCAATAGTTGTCAAATTGCTTTCGAGAAGATTAAAAAACTGCTACTCTCGGATCTGTCGCTGACACACTATGACCCATCCCTCCCCATTGTAGTAGCGTCAGATGCTTCAAGCTACGGCATTGGAGCAAGCATTTCGCATATCATGCCTGATGGGTCAGAGAAGGCAATCTCGCATGCAGCAAGGTCTTTAACTACAACAGAACGTAAGTATAGTCAGATTGAGAAAGAAGCTTTGTCAATTATTTTTGCCGTAAAAAAATTTCACAAGATGATATTTGGACGCAGCTTCACACTCTTAACTGACCACAAACCGCTGCTAGCCATATTTGGGTCAAAGAAAGGGATCCCAGTCTATACGGCGAACAGATTGCAACGATGGGGAACCACATTATTGGGCTACGACTTCAAAATTAAGTACCAACCTACTACTTCTTTCGGACAAGCTGACGCTTTGTCTAGACTCATTGGTTCTCAAGCGAATCAGGAAGAAGATATCTTGGTGGCTGCGATTGAGTCAGAATTACATCGAGTGTTGAAAGACGCAGTAGATGGTCTACCAGTTACATTCAAAGCTATTAAAGAGGCTACAATAAATGACAAAATACTACAAGAAGTCAAAGGTTATATCCTCTCAAAGTGGCCGAATCGTCGTCTACAAGGAGAACTGCAACAATATTTCCGCCGGCGCGATTCACTCACTATTATCGACTCATGCATTATGTTTGGTGACCGAATTATCATTCCAAAATTATTGCGACATAAAACCCTCAAGCAATTTCACAGTGGTCACCCTGGAATAAACAAGATGAAATCGTTGGCGCGCAGCTACGCCTACTGGCCCTCGATGGATAACGATATAGAAACCAAATGCCGAAACTGCCTTTCATGCATACAAGCCGCAAAAAACCCTTCGAAATGCGAGCCTCAACAATGGCAGAAACCTACTGGACCTTGGGAGAGAATTCATGCAGATTTCGCTGGCCCAATCCAAGGTAAAATGTTTCTAATTATTGTAGATGCGTATACAAAATGGCCAGAAATATACAGCATGCCGAATTGTACAGCCTCAGAAACTATTCAGAAGCTTTCTACCTTATTTAGTTGTTTCGGAGTGCCAGAAACATTGGTAACTGATAATGGATCACAATTTGTTGCCGACTCATTCACGCGATTCTGCAGTTCAAACGGCATAACGCATCTACGGTCCCCACCTTACCACCCCCAATCCAATGGACAAGCTGAACGCTTCGTGGACACCTTCAAAAGAGCCTTACTGAAAGGGGGAGACGAGGGGCCAACTAGCCAAGTAATCACGAGATTTTTAACGGCTTACAGAAGCACTCCGAACCCTATGGTCCCAGAGGGGAAGTCTCCAGCCGAAGCGATGTTTGGAAGACGTATTCGGACTATTTTTAACGCGATGTTGCCCCCTAAAAGAGCGAATAGATACAGGCCAAATCAAAATATTCGCAGCTTCAACGTGGGCGATAAAGTGTTCCTAAAAACATATCGTGGTAAAAATCAATGGGAACCAGGAACAGTCGTCCAAAGACTAGGAAGAGTTTTGTATCGAATCATAGGAGCTTTCGGAAGCTGTGTTAGACACACAAACCAACTGCGAAGGGACGAAAGAATGGCACGCTCGGGTGATAATCGCGTGAATCCACCCCTGGAGTTGATCACAGAACCGACAACTACACATTTTTCCCGGAATGCCGAAGAAAAGGGAAGGTTGGAGACATTAACTCGAGAAACTATAACCAGAATGGAACGCCGCCGCAACCCAGTCGTAAGACTACAAGTGGACCCGAGAAAAAAATCTTATTCTGGGGAGGTGTTGGGATAGCCAATCGAGAAGAAAGCCATGCACATTGTGGATTGATGAACTTATCGATTAAATGCTTAAATATTTCAAGGGCAGTCAATCGATGAACTATTGGATTTAAAATTCAAATATTTAAACGACAATATCGATTATATTTATAATTGTATAAATACGCATGTTTGGTTGTATATTTTTGATTCTGTTAATAAGTGTTCTCCAACGTCTTCCGTCTTTTTATTTTTGACGGTGGGAGTCTAACGTTTTGAGGGTCATTAATACAGTGGTTTGGCGTTACATCAAGCAGAGAACATAAAACCTACCATGCCAGGCTGGTCGACTGGAGAACGATGAGACTAAAAGCAGCTACCCAAGGTCTGAAAGAAAAGTCGTACTGCTGACTGCAGAGGGGTGTGACAGCAGTAAGGTGTTTCCCTCGGACAACCAGCATCTGCAACGATGCTGCCTTCTCACAAGGAAGGAACGGTTAGAAAAGGTCGACCCTAAAGATGTCACACCTCACCATACATCACGGAATTCCGTCTTCGGCAGTAAGGCCTTTTAAACAAGAGCGGAGCTAACATTTTAAATACTTCTCACAAATCCCCTAACTCACGGATTTCCGTCTCCCTGGGTAAGGGTGCCCACTAAGGGCCTTTAAGAACGGAGCTAATCCTCTAAATACCTCTCATAAAAAGGCCGTGCGTGACCGGCCTCAAGCAGTTGTCCCTTGGACTCTGCAGTCACGCTCCCAGGTCTGTAAGACCAACACTAATCTATCTTCCTTTTCAGGTCCCTCAAGAAACAAACTTCCACGGTGTGGGCATCCGGGAAGTGACATCCGCCCTCATACCCATAACAGCAAGAGACACCAAATTGGTCGAAATCAAATCCTTCCTACACCCACACATACCTCTCGTCTCTCCACAACTAACTGTACTCACATTCCATTATCTGACTGCACCGCTAATGCAAACGATGCGAGTTCACGAAACGTCACTCCTGGTCTCTTGGAACCTCGTTCTAGACTACATGTTGGAGCATTTAATGTACGGACATTGTGTCAAATAGAGCAACAAGCATCATTAGCTAGGACTTCAGAATCTCGCTCCATCGATGTATGCTGCGTCTCGGAAACGCGCATACAGGATCCTAGTAAAATTATTAATCTGGTTTCACCTTGTCAAAATAAAGAAGCAACTCGATCTACGTTTCGTGTACCTGAAAGTCCTGATGCTGGTTCCCGTGGTCTTTCTGGCGTAGGTATACCATTGAGTCGTAGAGCTGAACAATCTCTCCTTGACTGGATCCCAGTAGACAGTCGCTTGTTTGCTGTCCGGCTGAACGGGACAGTAATGACTCGGAAAGATAGGGACATCCGTCGTTACCTCTTCATCATATCTGCCTATGCCCCCACTGACTGCAGTTCAGACGAGGTAAAAGATGAGTTTTACAGAAAGCTTTCGGACCTCCTCGAAAGGGTTAGGCACTCTGATATAGTAACAATGGCTGGTTACTCCGATGCTCAAATAAGTAGATTAAATGAAAGGGAAAGACACCTGAGTGGATGTTATGGTGTCGCGGCTCAGAGAACAGACAATGGTGACCGTCTGTTGCAAGTATGCTCAGACAACCGCCTATTCTTAGCAAACACTAACTTTAGGCATAAGGAAAAGCATCTCTTGACCTGGCGACCTCCAAAGTCGTCTCAACGTTGGACGCAACTAGATCACATTGCCATCAGCCACCGATGGAGCGGTTCGATAGAAGACTGTCGCTCGTTCCGGGGCACATGTTTGGATTCAGATCATGCCCTAGTGCGAGCTCGTATTTGTTTGAAGCTTACTGGGCGTAGGAAAGACGTCTTAAAAAGGCCTCTTATGGTTTTACTTAATGATAATAAGGCGAAGAATATATTTCAGGAACAACTAGAAAGACAGTTAGGCGACCATTTAAGCGATCCCCATCCGGAGGCAGGATGGAATGATATCAAGAAGGCTGTACAAACAGCAGTGATATCTGCTAGTAAGGTTGACCATATGGCTAGAATGAAGCCATGGATCTCAGTAGCATCCACTGATCTGATGGATGCCAGAAAACTTATCCCACCTGGCTCTGAACATGATGAAGAACGAAGTCAACTTAAGCACAGGCTGACAAAAAGCCTACGTAACGACCGCGAACAGTGGTGGGTGGCGAAAGCGATGGAAAAGGCAGCGGCGATCGGCAACACCAGACAAGTTTTCCGACTTATCAAGGAAACTGGCATTAGGAATCCTAGTGTAAGTGAGACTATCTCAGAAAATGACAGGACTATTATTTATTCTCAATCCAGGAGACTGGATCGATGGGCAGAACACTTTAGGGATCAGTTTAATTGGCCTCGAGCCACTCTTCGGTTACCCACGACCTCCAGTCATCCTGAATGGCAAGTCGACGTAAGTCCGCCTAGTCTTACTGACGTTGAGAAAGCGTTAGGAAATCTAAAGCGAGGACGAGCTGCAGGTCCTGATAGATTGACCCCTGAGATGCTTAAGGATGGTGGTCCAGTTTTAGCAGCTAGGTTGACTGAGATCTTAGGTAGAATCTGGGAACTGCACGTAATCCCATCCGACTGGTCTCAATCACTGATTGTCCCAATCTATAAGAAAGGACAAAAGTCTTCTTGTGACAATCACAGGGGAATAAGTCTAACTAATATAGTATCTAAAATACTGGCCTCAATAATACTTCGGCCCCTAACGAAAGCTCGTGAAGAGCAAACTTGAGAGAACCAGGCTGGTTTTCGAGCTGAACGTGGCTGCACAGACCACGTCTTCACACTCAGAAAGGTCCTGGAAAATAGACACACATTGAGGCGTCCTATAATAGTTGTTTTCCTTGACCTAAAAGCCGCATTTGACTCAGTGGATCGTGAGGTTCTGTGGCAGTGCCTGTCACTGAAAGGTGTACCAGAGAAGTACATTAACCTTATACAAGCACTCTCTCTACTCGAACACCACTGGTCGAGTGAGAGCTTATGGCGAACTGTCAACGGGATTCCTTACTTCAAGTGGTGTCCGTCAGGGATGTCTACTCTCTCCATTCTCGTTTAACACTGTCGTAAACATCCTTTTAGAGTCAACATTATCCTCGTCTGAATTTTCAGGTGTGGAACTTCTGCTAGGGAGATCGCTTATTGACCGATGACATAGTTCTTTTCGGTGAAGACGCTGACAAAATGCAGAGTCTTCTGACTACCCTAAGCAACAATGCAAGCATGTTCGGGACGCAGTCCTCACCCTTGAAATGGAAAATGTTGCTTCAAGATTGGCTTGAGGCGGCACTTGAAATAGTGATAGGGAGTGAAGTAGTCGAGTGTGTCGATCGCTTCACTTATCTTGGGAGTCTCATCAGTGCTGATGGCCTGGTGACTGACGAAATCTCCGCACGGATACAGAACGCTCGATTGGCTTTTGCCAACCTGCGTCACTTATGGCGAAGGCGAGATATCCGTTTGCTGGCTAAAGGACGAGTGTACTGTGCAGTGGTTCGCTCCGTCCTACTTTATGTCTGTGAAACATGGCCAATGAGAGTAGAAGATATTCGTAGGTTACTGGTTTTCGATCATAGGTGTCTTCGAAGCATTGCTCGTATATCCTGGGACACCCGAGTGAGCAACGCTGTTATTAGGACACGGGTGCTAGGTAAGAATGGCAGATCAATAGATGAAGTAGTGAAACTTCATCAGTTGAGGTGGTTGGGACATGTGCTGCGTATGCCCAACCGTCAACTGCCTCGTCGAGCTTTGTTTTGTAGTGTAGGAATAGGTTGGAAGAAAGTTAGGGGCGGCCAAATCAAAACATGGCACAAATCCATGAAATCACTGACAAGTGGACTGAGTCGTGTAGGTAGATAGATGTAGGCTACCTGGTTGGGGTTCGCGAGATGATAATAATCGATGGTTAGAGACCTTGAATGACATGGCTCAAAATCGTTCGCAATGGCGCCGGTGCATTTATGCTTTGTGTTCTCTCAAATCGTAATCTTCTGTATTCGTCAACACCTCTACCTTTGTCTTTCTTAGCTTATCTCACTGAATTATACTTCTTGAATAATATCTTCTAATCCTAACCTCTCCGATTACTTCTTATACCTTTACTACCTCTTCTACTATTGAATTTGAATTGACAATTACATCTCTGTGCTAATTGTGGTATGGCGACATGAACTGATGTACCTACGTACGAAGTTCTACGTTGCATCTGACTGACTGACTGACTGATACACGTTTGTGCCTAATTCTTCGTTGTTTGCTTCTGCATGAAACAATTGCATTTTTTTATTTGCTATTTAAATGATGTTGAGTGTTGAAATCGGGTGTGAATGTCAATATTTAAACTAATACTCAAAGAAACAACTCAAAAACACTGTTTGTGTTGTGGTGAAAAAAGAATAAAGAGACAAAGCTACAAAGAAAGACAAGTAGCTTAAACTTTTCATATAATGCTAAATCCTACTGCCCTCAATAGGAAAGAATGCCTTACTATCCATCCGACTTGGACCATTTATCCAAGCCACCATATGTGATTCTTTTCATATCTCATACTATTAGCATACTTACGAATTCAACTTTATCCTTCCATATCTTTAACACACACAAATAGACAAACAAATTTCATTTGAATCATCTTGACTGTAGTGGCATGACATTGATTTGGTCCGACTTGTTTCTTGATTGGTTGTAATAAATGTTTGGTTGCATCCCTATGTACTATTTAGACTTGAGTTAACTTAATTCCTTTATTTATTCTCTGAAGAAGCGGCTTACACTGAGTCATGAAACGTCAGAAAATGGTTAACTTTTCTACTCATTGAGATATTACACATATATTTTTTTATAGTTAACGATCTACCCGATGCTCAATTTATTTTGAAATTATTAAGTCGAATCTTGATGATGATATCTAGACAAAAAATTGTCGCACATATAATCAAAATTAATAAATTTTAGTAAACACTTACGCATCAGTCTTTTGTTTGGGAAATACAACGCGTTCAACAACACCAGAAGGCATACATATATCATGAGTAGGGTGATCGTGTTTGGATGGTTTATAAGAAACGATTCGAGGCAAGTGGTCAGGTTCAGGTTTAACAACTGGGGTTTGATGTCTTCGCCAATCCCCTCTTGATACTACCAAATAAGAAATGAGCTCGCTGGACGGTTCATTTTTAAACTGAAAATCAACCACAGTAGGAAACACTTGTTCAAATCAAAAGAAAATAAGCGAAATAGTTCTATGTAACTTAGTATAAAATGACGCAGAAAGATATAAAACGAAAAACCAAGTGCACAGCAAGAAACAAAGTCGATGAGACACGTTTTGTTGAGCCGACAGCCATCATACGATTTAAAAATGACCTATCCAGATAAAAAAAAGTTGGGCATTAGTTCGAAATTCCATAATTACTTTACTCAGTGTGTCTGAAAAGACATACTTTTGACCAACAACTTTCATCATAAACAATTTCAGTAATCTCAGTATAAATCAATAATTTCCGAAGACCAAACTTAACATAAAACCTATTTATTCCTCTCAAATGTCAGTCAGTCACAACATAGAAATTCGTACGTAGGTACATCAGTTCATGTCGCCATACCACAGGTTGCCATACCGCATTGTCAATTCAAATCTGATAGTGATAAAGATAGTAGAGGTATGAATAGTAATAAAGAAGACTAGGATTCAAGAAGTATAATTCAGTGAGATAAGCTAAGAAAGACAAAGGTAGAGGTGTTGACGAATACAGAAGATTACGATTTGAGAGAACACAAAGCATAAATGCACCGGCGCCATTGCGAACGATTTTGAGCCATGTCATTCAAGGTCTCTAACCATCGATTATTATCATCTCGCGAACCCCAACCAGGTAGCCTACATCTATCTACCTACACGACTCAGTCCACTTGTCAGTGATTTCATGGATTTGTGCCATGTTTTGATTTGGCCGCCCCTAACTTTCTTCCAACCTATTCCTACACTACAAAACAAAGCTCGACGAGGCAGTTGATGGTTGGGCATACGCAGCACATGTCCCAACCACCTCAACTGATGAAGTTTCACTACTTCATCTATTGATCTGCCATTCTTACCTAGCACCCGTGTCCTAATAACAGCGTTGCTCACTCGGGTGTCCCAGGATATACGAGCAATGCTTCGAAGACACCTATGATCGAAAACCAGTAACCTACGAATATCTTCTACTCTCATTGGCCATGTTTCACAGACATAAAGTAGGACGGAGCGAACCACTGCACAGTACACTCGTCCTTTAGCCAGCAAACGGATATCTCGCCTTCGCCATAAGTGACGCAGGTTGGCAAAAGCCAATCGAGCGTTCTGTATCCGTGCGGAGATTTCGTCAGTCACCAGGCCATCAGCACTGATGAGACTCCCAAGATAAGTGAAGCGATCGACACACTCGACTACTTCACTCCCTATCACTATTTCAAGTGCCGCCTCAAGCCAATCTTGAAGCAACATTTTCCATTTCAAGGGTGAGGACTGCGTCCCGAACATGCTTGCATTGTTGCTTAGGGTAGTCAGAAGACTCTGCATTTTGTCAGCGTCTTCACCGAAAAGAACTATGTCATCGGTCAATAAGCGATCTCCCTAGCAGAAGTTCCACACCTGAAAATTCAGACGAGGATAATGTTGACTCTAAAAGGATGTTTACGACAGTGTTAAACGAGAATGGAGAGAGTAGACATCCCTGACGGACACCACTTGAAGTAAGGAATCCCGTTGACAGTTCGCCATAAGCTCTCACTCGACCAGTGGTGTTCGAGTAGAGAGTGCTTGTATAAGGTTAATGTACTTCTCTGGTACACCTTTCAGTGACAGGCACTGCCACAGAACCTCACGATCCACTGAGTCAAATGCGGCTTTTAGGTCAAGGAAAACAACTATTATAGGACGCCTCAATGTGTGTCTATTTTCCAGGACCTTTCTGAGTGTGAAGACGTGGTCTGTGCAGCCACGTTCAGCTCGAAAACCAGCCTGGTTCTCTCAAGTTTGCTCTTCACGAGCTTTCGTTAGGGGCCGAAGTATTATTGAGGCCAGTATTTTAGATACTATATTAGTTAGACTTATTCCCCTGTGATTGTCACAAGAAGACTTTTGTCCTTTCTTATAGATTGGGACAATCAGTGATTGAGACCAGTCGGATGGGATTACGTGCAGTTCCCAGATTCTACCTAAGATCTCAGTCAACCTAGCTGCTAAAACTGGACCACCATCCTTAAGCATCTCAGGGGTCAATCTATCAGGACCTGCAGCTCGTCCTCGCTTTAGATTTCCTAACGCTTTCTCAACGTCAGTAAGACTAGGCGGACTTACGTCGACTTGCCATTCAGGATGACTGGAGGTCGTGGGTAACCGAAGAGTGGCTCGAGGCCAATTAAACTGATCCCTAAAGTGTTCTGCCCATCGATCCAGTCTCCTGGATTGAGAATAAATAATAGTCCTGTCATTTTCTGAGATAGTCTCACTTACACTAGGATTCCTAATGCCAGTTTCCTTGATAAGTCGGAAAACTTGTCTGGTGTTGCCGATCGCCGCTGCCTTTTCCATCGCTTTCGCTTTCGCCACCCACCACTGTTCGCGGTCGTTACGTAGGCTTTTTGTCAGCCTGTGCTTAAGTTGACTTCGTTCTTCATCATGTTCAGAGCCAGGTGGGATAAGTTTTCTGGCATCCATCAGATCAGTGGATGCTACTGAGATCCATGGCTTCATTCTAGCCATATGGTCAACCTTACTAGCAGATATCACTGCTGTTTGTACAGCCTTCTTGATATCATTCCATCCTGCCTCCGGATGGGGATCGCTTAAATGGTCGCCTAACTGTCTTTCTAGTTGTTCCTGAAATATATTCTTCGCCTTATTATCATTAAGTAAAACCATAAGAGGCCTTTTTAAGACGTCTTTCCTACGCCCAGTAAGCTTCAAACAAATACGAGCTCGCACTAGGGCATGATCTGAATCCAAACATGTGCCCCGGAACGAGCGACAGTCTTCTATCGAACCGCTCCATCGGTGGCTGATGGCAATGTGATCTAGTTGCGTCCAACGTTGAGACGACTTTGGAGGTCGCCAGGTCAAGAGATGCTTTTCCTTATGCCTAAAGTTAGTGTTTGCTAAGAATAGGCGGTTGTCTGAGCATACTTGCAACAGACGGTCACCATTGTCTGTTCTCTGAGCCGCGACACCATAACATCCACTCAGGTGTCTTTCCCTTTCATTTAATCTACTTATTTGAGCATCGGAGTAACCAGCCATTGTTACTATATCAGAGTGCCTAACCCTTTCGAGGAGGCCCGAAAGCTTTCTGTGGAACGCATCTTTCACATTGTCTAAGCTGCAGTCAGTGGGGGCGTAGGCAGCAGTACGACTTCGCCCACAGACCTTGAGTAGCTGCTTTCAGTCTAATCGTTCTCCAATCGACCTGCCTTGCATGGTAGAACCTTCAGGAACATACGTTCGAGCCAATATAGCTCGGTTGGGTCATCACGATAGGCAAGCCCGACCACCACGTCAAGGTAGCAGCTACGGTCGGTCAACATGGTGAATAATTAAACAAAATATTCAAAATATTTATAGAATCCCACCAATATTTTCGTTATTTTTTCTTTGTTAAATACAAAATAAACGAATACTTACGCGCGTTACTCCAAAGTTGTAATATCGTACAACAATGTTACAGTTGGAATCCTTTTTTCCACAAGTTTGCAAATGAGGACACTAAAAATAGTTACAAAACATTAACAATTCATTCTACCTTACAGGATTTCGTTTACGATACTGTTGCAGAAACATAATATTTAAAGTGGGGGAAGTTAAAAATGGGCCTAATGAGAAATATGATGACGTTGTAATACATCGTGGACTAACGTGAAGCAGTTGGAAATCGTCAGTGAAGTTTAGTAACAGCAGAAAAAAATACATTAGTTTATAATAGCACAAATGATATTACATAAGGATATTCAAAAGTAATCATCAGAATAGTCTTTCATATAAATAGTTGAAAACGTTTACACTTCTATAAAAGTAAATGGGAGGCTTACCAGCAACAGTAAGTCTTAACGAGGTTGTTTAGAAAGTTGCTATATTTGAAGGCAACAGGTAACGTTATTCAAAACAATATGGCTTAATAAGTAAACAAATTCTAACACTTTAGAAAGTTCAAAATTAATATTACCGAATACTTACCGGACTGAAAATATAAACATCAGATCCCCCATTTGTAATCTAAAAAATTTTAAAAAAACGTTTGAACGTGCCTGATGATCGTATTTGGTTGGTAAAATAGCCAACACTAAATATTCTCTAAGTTTTCATAAAAAAAGACTATAAAACAATTAAAAAGTGCTTAAAGAACACGGTAAAATGTATCGATTATAAATTTGTCATCTATGGAGAAAATACTAACCTACTAACCGCTCAACAACTGTTACTCACAATTCAAAAAATGGAGAGTAAATTGAAGTTAATTCTTGCTATTCTGAAGCTTTTCCTATCAAGAGAAGTGATGGGTACGTACACAGATCCATTTACAGAAACATAACATGGAACAGCTAGTCAATCAAATTCCTTTTTCGGGTGCATCTTGGCAGAAAATGAAGTTCTATTGGTCTTTCATTCCTAATATTTTGAATATCGACTGCAAAATATTACATAGTTTTAAAAGGAACTAATTTAAACCATCTATTATTAAGAAGATGGAATTCGGCTACCAGTGGAATCCAGGACGCATATTTGATCCGATTTGGGACTCCTTAGCTAGAACTGCCTACATTGTAGGAGATAATAAACGAGTGGAGAGGAGCATTAGAGCTGATGAGCTAAAATATATGGAAGACCTATCAATGACAGAGGAAATAGTTGCAACAGAAGAAACTGAGATAAGAATTTAATACAATGAAGCTATCGGAGAAACATATTAAGCAAAAGCGACCGACCAATAACAAAGGGGAACCAATCACTGAAGATCAAGAAAAGTGAGACAAGTGGGTAGAACACTTTCAGGAGCTCCTGAAAACATCACCACCACTGAGAACATCGTACACAGAACTAGCACACAAATGACTGCCCATAGATGTTACTCCACCAAAAACGAGAAAAATCACGAAGACCACTAAACAAATCAAGAGTGGCAATGCAGTAGAGTCAGGAAGCGCATTAACTAAAGCACTGGAGTTAGATATGGAGGTAACTGGAACGATATCCCAGAAAGACTTGGGAGGAAGAACAAGCAAGAACAAACTCAAAACAAGGATAACTCATCAAGATACAAGAGAAGGATCTTCGTAGGTTTACGAACTACAGAGGTATCACACTAATGTGAAGACCTGGTACTCTAGATCTATTCGTTAGAGTTCATCAGCTTCCAGCTGAAGTGGATATTAGGAAAGGATACCGGAAGTGGATCGGTTACAGTTCATAGAAATCATCAAACTGCATCACGAGGCTGGCCGTATGTCAGAATCCTCATGGAAAAAGGATAAGTAACAGACAAAAGAATATAGTGCATTGGTACTTGGAGCCAAAGATCTAGAGCATGAATAGCCCTTGGTGAAAATTGGAAAGGAGAGCCAAGTAAAGAGTTGGTTGGAGATTCTTGGTTGGCAGCCTATGTCACAATAAAGATAACAGGCTTAAAAGGCAAAGTAAATAAACTATTTACCAGACCTTACGTAATCCTAACTTATAACTTGTTGTTACCGTCATTACAATTTTCGATTGTTGATATTCGTTTTTCAACATTAGACAGACACTGTGTATGAATGGACTACTTGGAACTAAATTCATCAATGAAGAATTTGTCTCGCTCATTTTTGTATATTGATCAAAAATAGCATGAATGTAACTCATAAAAATACAATACTAACACAGTGACCATTTGAAACAAAACAACTTCTATTTCTAACTTTCGTTTCAGACACAGAAACGAACAAACTGTACGAAAATTATCATCTCAAAGCAATGAAAAACTAGTTGCCATCAAGGAATCCATTCAGCTGAACTAAGAGTTCTAACATAATTCACTAGTTTAACGAAAAAACGTGGACTGAAAGTACGTGGACAAATATATTGATCGTTAAATCTAGATAATAACTTTCATAATCAACAAGTAACTTGAAAAATTAAATTCACTAACCAAAAAGTCTCTTGCTTCAAGTATTGCCTGAAATCCAGACTTTGTTCCTTGTTCAATAAAGACCAGGAAATCTGTTGTTTTCTCCCACAAAGACGAAATAACACGTGAACGAGAAGATTCGCTTGGGATTTCAAGTAAAGTGTTAGCACAGACTACCAAATCATAATGGTTCTGTTTTAAAGCAGGAAAAATGAAGTCAACAAAACAGTAAATTAAATCTTTGGTATGGAGTAGTGGAGATGGCTGAATTTTACTGCAATCATGAACCAATTTAAAGCTCGAAAGCACTGTACTCCTAACATTTTAATGGTGGTCTCCAGATCATCATTTCAACGAAATTAAATTCTATTTCAGTTTCTTCTTTAGAAAACCACGGAAGTTTGACGTATAAATTATGGTAATAAATTTAGTTCTAGTTGAAATAAACCGAAAAACTAATAAAAAACAGAATTATTACTGAGAAACTGAGAATTAACAAGAAAATTGAGCGAAGCAAAACTATTTAGCAAACAGGCTTTTCTTCAAAATAACGTTTGGAAAGTCAGTCAGTCGGTTGCAACGTAAGAACTTCGTACGTATGTACATAAGTTCATGTTGCCATACCACATTAGCACAGAGACGCAAATGTCAAATCAAATCCCATAGTGACAAAGATAACAGGGGTATTAATGGTAATGAAGAAGATTAAGGTTCGAAGATAATATTCAAGAAGTATAATTCAGTGAGATAAGCTAACAAGGACAAAGGTAGAGGTACTGACAAATCCAGAAGATTAGGATTCGAGAGAGCTCAAAGAATGGATGCACTTGCGCCATTGCAAACGATTTTGAACCATGTCGTTCAAGGTCTCTAACCATCGCTGACTTTCGTCTCGCGGACCCCAACCAGGTAGTCTACATCTACCTACACGACTTAGTCCACTTGTCAGTGACTTCATCGATTTCTGCCATGTTTTGGTCTGGCCGCCCCTAGCTTTCTTCCAACCTACTCCTACACTACAAAACATAGCTCGTCGAGGCAGTCGGTGGTTGGGCATTCGTAACACATGTCCCCACCATCTCAACTGATGAAGTTTCAATACTTCATCTATTGAGCTGCCATCCTTACCTAGCACTCGTTTCCTAATGGCAGCATTGCTTACTCGGTTGTCCCACGATATACGATCAATGCTTCTTAATAGACGATCGAGCCTTCTGTATCCGTGCAGAGATTTCGTCAGTCACCAGGCCATCAGCACTGATGAGACTCCCAAGATAAGTGAAGCGGTCTACACGTTCGACTACTTCACTCCCTATCACTAGTTCAGGTGCCAATGCAACCCAGTCTTGAAGCAACATTTTGCATTTCGAGGGTGAGAACCACATACCGAACATGCTTGCATTGTTGCTTAGGGTAGTCAGAAGACTCTGCATTTTGTAAGCGTCTTCACCGAATAGAACTATGTCATCGGCATATTCTAGATCAGTAAGCGACTTTCCTGGTAGAAGGTCAACCCCTGAAAAATCTGACGAGCTTAATGTTAAATCTAAGAGGATATCTACGACAAAGTTAAACAAGAATGAGGAGAGTGGAAAATAATTACCCAAACACTTTTTCCGAAGTCGACAACAAAGAGACGCAAAAAATATTGAATTTAATGGTCCCAACTATAATTAAAATAAACTAAACACTTAATAAATTCCAGTAGCGTAAATAGTGCTTCACATAATGTTAATGATCTTGCTTATAAGACCGAGTCATCTTGTTACTCAGTAGTTTTCGACATTGTACAACGCGCAAATGCTCTCCAAAATGAGAACACGGCTTGAACAGGTGATCAGTGGTGTTTTAACATACCAAGTTGAATGCGAAGTAATTACAGTGATAAAAACGTTGGCATATTTATAATTTTTGCACCTCCACCAGCCATTTACTAGCGCTGAATGGCTAAAAATACGCCACTCAGCGTGCTCCAAGATAATCCTGAATCAAACAAGTTTCAATCTAATTTACGTTCTGCTAACACCTCCCCTTCGAACAGATTGGTAGGATCTGGTATTAGGGCTCATTCGGATCTGCGTGACTGGTCTGCACCTTCGATTTGTCCCTCTTCTAGGCAATAAGAACTTGGTGTCATTGATTGTCTGTTCAAACTGGCGTTACAATTTTTGAAGGTTTGATTTTGAAGGTATCTAGGAGAACATCAAGAAATTTTCTGGTTCGACTCTCGTTGCTTATGATCACAGTTGCTTTCAGTTGATTAGAACGACACACCCGAACTTCTGAGCTGAATAAGACGTCGTAAATCACATTTCCTTTTCTAAGCACATTTCGACCAGATATCTATGTAGGACGTTTGTCATAGTAAGTACTTTTTGACCCACGGTGAATAAACGTCCTCATGCCCCATGATGTCGATTGAACTGCTTCTCAATCTATCTGTTACGCTGAGGCCTAAGAACTGGCACTGGACGCATAGCATCAAAATATATTCGTATTTTTCTGCCAAGCAGACCTTTTGATGAACCGACCTCATTAATCGTTTGAGAATCTAATTGGTTGTCTAGGGTGGACAGTATACATAAATCTGGGTCTCTTAATTCATCCGCAGATACCGCAGTGTTTCAAATGGCCTCTGCTACCAAACACCTGGTTTATGGATCTATACCTATAGAGGCAATGACTTTGTACTCAACGAAGAGAGAGCATCGGCTTGACCGACGGAATTCGAGGACTGATCAGTCAGCCAGTCAGTTACAACGTAGAACTTCGTAAGTACGTACATCACTTCAAGTTGCAATACTACATTAGCACAGAGACGCAATTGTCAGTTCAAATCCAGTAGCGGTTGAGATAGTAGAAGTATCAGCGGTTATGGAGATTAGGGTTCGAATAAATTATTCAAGAAGTAAAATTCAGTGAGATGACTTTAGGAATAGAAGGATAGAGGTAATGAGGAATTCAGAATATTAGAATTTGAGATAACACAAAGATTCGATGCGACTGCGCCAGTGTAAAAGATTTTGAGACACGTCGTTCAAGGTCTCTATCCACCGCTGACTATCGTCTCGCGGACCCCAACCAGGTAATCTACATCTACCAACATGACTAAGTCCACTTGTCAATGACTTCATGGATTTCTGCCATGTTTTGGTCTGGCCGCCCCTAGCTTTCGTCCAACCTACTCTTGCACCAAAAAACATAGCTCGTCGAGGCAGTCAGTGGTTGGGCATTCGTAACACATGTCTCAACCACTTCAACTGATGGAGTTTCGCTACTTCATAAATTGATCTGTCATCATCACCTAGTACTCGCTTCCTAACTACAGCATTGCATACCCAGCTGTCCCACAATAAGAGCAATGATTCAAAGGTACCTATGTTCAAGTACGGTTAACCTACGAATATCCTTCATTCTTAGTAGCCGTAACTCCGCCTGTAGAACCTACTGCCGGTCCCAAGCCCGGATAATGGAGGAGGGTTGGACATGGGGTTGGCGACCCCATCCCACAATAAAAAATAACTTGCCAAAAAAACGCTAACCATAACAAATAATTCAAACCATTTAAACTCTGCCCTGGCAGTGTGAAGAAGAATTATGACGTCTCGTGATGAAAGCTGAGTTCCCTCGGAAGTCACAAGGCCGATGCCTCTTCTGACAACCAGAGTAACCATTCTTTTAGGTACGTGGAACGTTCGAACATTGTGGGAGACTGGAAGACTATTTCAAATTGCGGCAGAAATGAAAAGATACAACTTCGAGGTGCTCCAAATCAGCGAAACGCATCGGACACAGGCAGGACAACTGATACTAGCTTCAGCGGAAATGCTGTTATACTCTGGTCATGAAGAGGAAAATGCCTCACATACACAGGGAGTTGCACTGGTGCTGTTCAAACAAACACAGAAGGCCCTGATAGAGTGAGAATCTCATGGACCCAGGATCATCAAAGCATCCTTCAAAACAAAGAAACAGGACATTACAATGAACGTCATCCAATGGTATGCACCGACCAACGACTACAATGACGACGACGATAAAAACAGCCCTACGAAAGGCTACAGTCAATCGTCGATGGATGCTCATCAAAGGATTTGACAATTCTGACGGGAGACCTTAATGCCAAGGTTGGCATGGACAACACTGGATATGAAGAAATCATGGGACGACTTGGACTGGGAGAAAGGAACGAAAACGGTGAGAGATTAGCAAACCTATGTGCCCTCAACAAACTGGTCATCGGTGGCACAATATTACCACACAAAGCCACATGGATTTCACCGGACCACACTACTCAAAACCAAATCGACCATATCTGTATCAATAAAAAGTTCAGAAGGACCACGAAAGATGTGAGAACCAGGAGAGGAGCTGATATAGCTTCAGATCACCACTTGCTGATCGCCAAAATAAAACTGAAACTAAAGAAACACTGGACAACGGGGCAGACAACATCACAGAAGTTCAATACAGCCTTTCTTCGGGATACCGTAAAACTCAACGAATTCAAGATAGCCCTCAGCAATGAGTTCCAGGACTTGCAGGATCTACCTTGGAGAACAATTCGAAAGGGATCAAAGGGGCAATCACTTCAACATGTCACGAAGTTCTGGGTCACGGGAAGTACCACCACAAGGAATGGATGTCTGTTGATACTCTCGCAAAAATTCAAGAAAAGAGGAACAAGAAAGCAGCAATCAACATCAGCCAAACAAGAGCAGAGAAAGTTAAGACATAAGCTGAATACACCGAAGCACACAGGCAAGTGAAGAAGAGCATCAGAGCTGACAAACGTAAACATGTGGAAGATCTAGCGATGTCGGCGGAAAAGGCTGCAAGAGACGGAAACTTGAGACAGTTGTACGAAACCACAAAGAGGCTCGCTGGAAACTATCGTAAACCAAAACGACCAGTAAAAAGTAAGGAAGGCAAAGTAATCAGCGACACTAAAGAACAGCGAAATAGGTGGGTAGAGCACTTTCAGGAACTCCTGAATCGACCAGCTCCACTGAACCAACCCAACATCGAAGCAGCATCTACGGACCTCTCAATTAATATTGGTGCACCTACAGTTTAAGAGATCAGCATGGCCATCAGACAAATCGAGAGCGGAAAACCGGCAGGACCAGACAACATTCCAGAAGAGGCAGTCAAAGCAAATGTGGAAGCAACTGCGAAAATATTTCACATTC